AGGGAAGGGGAAAGTCTGCAGAAGGTGGAAAATAACCAGGTTTTGGACCCGGGATAAAAAGTAGCTGGAGTAGGTTGGGCTGACTCCTTATAATTAATAGTGTGCCTCGTGATAGGATTCTCCAGCCCTTGGTGCTCCTTGGAAACACCTTTCTGCACAAGATACTGCTCACGATGGAGTGGCAGAGATCTGATTGATGGGGGTTTGGCCCCCAAGAGGCAATGGGGGAGCAGGCCTGGACACTGGGAGAGATGGGGGGAGGCAGGGAGGGTGCTGCTGGGGGGGCCTGGCCAGGAGAAAGTGCTTAATGGGGCTGCCAGTGAGCGAGGGGCTGAGCCCCCTCTGCTCCAAGGGGAGAAGGGGGGCACCAGCAAGACCTTAGAGCAGCTCCAGTGCCTAAAGGGGCTGCGGGAAAGCTGGAGAGGGGCTTGGGACAAGGGCCTGTAGGGACAGGCCAAGGGGAATGGCTTGAACCTGCCCGAGGGGAGACTGGGATGAGCTCTTAGGCAGAAGCTCTTCCCTGTGAGGGTGCTGAGGCGCTGGCACAGGGTGCCCAGAGAAGCTGTGGCTGCCCCATCCCTGGCAGTGCTCAAGGCCAGGTTGGACACAGGGGCTTGGAGCAAGCTGCTCCAGTGGAAGGGGTCTCTGCCCATGGCATGAGGTTGGGAATGGAGGAGCTTTAAGGTCCCTTCCAACCCAAACCAGGCTGGGATTCCATCATTCCATGATCACCCAGGAATGGAAAGAAAGACAGGGGAGAAATGCACTGGGGGACACAACATCCCATAGGAGGTGCACTGGTAGCAGGAGAAGGTAAGCAGGAAAGCCTGGAGGAAAAGAGGGAATAGGAAAAAGAGTGCTTAGGGAGGAAAGGGGGATGTTCTGGCTCCAGGATGGGGTCTACACACACACACCCAATCATCAGTGCACCTCGGAGCCCATGGGTGCTAACCACAGCCAGGGAGCTCCATCAATCACTGTAACAAGCAGGTCTGTGCGTGGTGTTCTCTTCTGACCACAGACAGAGCGGAAGGAACGGGAGAAGATTGTAATAATTAATAATCATTAGAATAATAATGCATAAAGACAGTCACAAAGTAATTAGTCCGAGAGGGAGTGCGTGCTAATTGGGGTGGGGAGCTGCATCCAGCAGGGAGCAGGGGGTGCGGAGCAGGAGCTCATCCAAGGGGCAAAGAGGGGTGTGTGTACCCCAGTCCTGCCCTCGGACAGGCAGGAAGGGCCCTGGCTCCATCCCTGCCTGCAGCGTGAGCCCTGGCTTCATCCGCCCCATGTGCCTCAGTTTCCCCATCCTCTATAGATGCTGTGTGCTGGGCTGCAGGAGGAGGCGAGGGGTCCAGCTCAGGGAACAGGCCAGCCTTGTGTGACACGGTGAGAGGCATCCCTGCCCACGGCAGCGGGTTGGAACTGGCTGATCTTCAGGTGCTTCCCAACCCATTCCATGATTCCGGAAGGACCCCACACGGGCCATGGGCAAGGATGCCCCACACCAGACCGTGTCACACAAGGCTCTGCAGTGCCTCCCTCCTCAATGGGCATCACTCCAGCCCCAGCTGGTCCTTGAGGGCGCGGAGCTGTGCGGGCCGGATGCTGCTGCCTCCGCACACCACCACCACCACGGAGGCCAGCGGGGTCCGCAGCCGCCCCTCTCGCTGCAGCCGCTGCAGCCCCCCCGTGTAGAGCAGGGCCAGGGCAGCGCCGCACGCCGGCTGCACCAGCATCCTCTCGTCCTCTGCGGGGGCAAGAGCCACCCTGAGCCGCGCAGCACCCGCACAGCACAGGTATCAGCACAGCATCCCCATCGCGACCCGGCTCACCCAGGAACCGCTCCACAGCCCGCACAGCATCCGCGTCCTCCACCACCTGGGAGATGACCTCGCATTCCCGGGCACACTCCAGCGCCCGCGCCGCCACGGTCTTGGCTCCCAAGCACTTGGCCACGCTTGGGATAGAAGGGGATGGGGTTGGTCCCGAGAGACCCTTGATGGAGCTGGGGTGAGACCCAGCGGCTCCTGGCACGCATGGCAATGCCTTACCTGGTGATGTCAGGCAGGGTGATGAGCCGCCCGGCCTCCAGCGCTGCATGCAGGCTGTGAGCCCCCCATGTCTCTACGGCGATGATGGGGGTGTCCTGCCAGCCCACCCGCCACAGGCCGGCCACGACCCCCGCCAGCAGCCCCCCGCCACCCACCGCCAGCACGATGGCGTCTGGCTTGGTGTCCAGGGAGTCCTTCAGCTCCTGGACCAGGCTGGCGTGGCCCTGCCTGCGGCGTGAGGAGGGGAGGATGCAGCCCAGAGCATCCCGGCCGTGGGGATGGGGATGGGGAGCTGAGCGCCGGCAGCACTCACCACACCAAGGGGTGGTCGAACGGGTGGATGCTGACCCAGCCCTTGGTCTCCACCAGCTCCAGGGCTCTCCTGTTGGCATCATCCCATACCTGGGGAAGTAATAGGGGCTCCGTGGGGCCGCATCCAGCCCCCCCCCGAAATAGGTCCACCATCACCATAAACCCACAGAGGCACTGGGTTGAGGAGTGGGGTCCCCACGGTGACCGTGTTGCAGTGCCAGGGCGCAGGTGATGCAGGACGGGGTTTGCCGTGCGCACCACAGGGATGCTCCCCGCACACCCCCAGGCTGCGGTACCTGTCCCGAGACCTCCACCTCTGCCCCCATCTCCTGCAGCCTGCGCACGGTGCCGGGGCCGGTGCTGCTGGGGACCACGACGGTCACCGGCATCCCCAGCTTCTGCGCCGCGTAAGCCGCAGCCAGCCCCGCGCTGCCCCCTGCGGGAAGCGGGGGTCACGAAGGGCTGGATCCCCCCCCTCTCCCATAGCCCTCACAATGGGGCCCCCTGCTCCAGCTCCCGTTACCTGAGGCACAAACGAAGTGGCCGCAGCCCTTCTTGGCAGCCTGAAAGGAAGGAGGGGAAGGGATGGGGTTTATCCCCTCGTTGTGCCCCATCAGAGCAGCGCCCTGGTACAGCCCTCACCTCCTGGCAGAGGTGGCCGATGCCCCGGATCTTGAAGGAACCGGTGGGCTGAACGTTCTCCAGCTTCATGTACACCGTGGTACCCGCGGCCCTGGACAGGGGCAGGCTCTCCAGGAGGGGTGAGACGATGTGGAAGGGCCTTTGGGCCCCGTTGGGCTGGGCTGCCATGGCCTCGGGGGTGATGGATGCTCTGCCGTGGAGAGCAGGGTGAGGCACCAGCTGCTCCCCATGGGTTCCCCCCATTCCCTACAGCCCTGCTGACTGCCTTGGTTCCATGGGGACCACAGGAGCCCCATGGTTCGGGTCCTCAGCTCCGTCCCCAGCACCACAACGATTGGTCCTCCCTGCCAGAGCCCCATTGCAAGTGGGGCCACCCCCTCTCCATCCTCCATCCCCAAGCCCCCCATGTCCCCAGGAACCCCCTGGTTGGGACAAGGGGGTCCCCAGCTCCATCCCCAGCACCACAACGATTGGTCCTCCCTGCCAGGTTGGGGTATGTCCCCAGGAGCCCCCTGGTTGGGACAAGGGGGTCCCCAGCTCCATCCCCAGCACCACAACGATTGGTCCTCCCTGCCAGAGCCCCATTGCAAGCGGGGCCACCCCATCTCCATCCTCCATCCCCAAGTCCCCCCTGTCCCCAAGCGCCCCACGGGGGGGTTACCCAATGTCCCGTGTCCCCAGTGTGTGTGCTCAGCTCCTCACCTGCAGCCACAGCAGCCCCTGGGGACAGCGGAGGTGACTCTGGGGGGCCGTGCCGATGTGCCCAGGCCCCCACGTGAGCCGGCAGCAGTTAGACATTGCCCTGGCTGTTTGCTCACAGCCCCATGGGCCTTGGCACCCACAGCACTGGATCCGTGCCTAAAGCACCCAGGCCATGGTACGGGCACGGTGCCGGTGGCCCAGGATCAGCCTTCATGTGCCAAGGAGATGGGACATTGGGAGGCCAGGAATGGGGGGAGGAAGAGAGGAGGCAGATCCCAAATGACTTTGGGGGTCCCCAAGGGTAAGACCCCTGCACCTGAGCACAAGCCCTCGGGTCCATGTCCCAGCAGGCTGGAGGACTTTGCCCATTCAACCTGAACCCATTGCCCCCAAAGCAGCCATTGCACCCCTATGCCAGCCCTGCCGAGCCCCACAGCAGCCTTGCCACCCCCCCCACCCCATCCCAGCCTCATGGAACAAGCCCCTGTGTGGCAGGAGGGGTCAGGGGGGATGAAGGTCCCAACTGCACATGGGCTGGCATAGGCAAGACAGCCAAATGGGATGCACTGGGACACAAGCTCCAGCCCCCCCATGTCACAGGGTCCGTAGATGCTTCCCTGCGGATGGGACAGGGATGTGGGACCATTGGAGGCAGCGCTGGGGAAGCGGTGCAAGGAGACCCTGCTGCTCATAGGGAGGATGCTGGAGCCAAGCTCAGCCCTCCTCAGCATGGATGCACCTATCCCTCCTCCTACCCCAGGAAAGGGGCATAGGGAGCCCCCACACCAGGGATGCAGCCACGGATCCCAGTGGGATTTGGGATGGCTCCGGCACTCCCATCGCAGCTTTAGGGTCCCCTGCTTCATCCCAGCTCCATGCAGCCCCCAGGGAGCTGCAGGGCCCCCCAGGCCTGGTGGGAACCTGGAGCCATCAAAGCGGAGCCGCAGCAGCTCATTAATCCCCCGGTAATGACCTCGTTATTCCTAACGAAGCAGCGGGATCAAGGGGGCTGCCCTAAGAGGATTTTGCAACAGGGGTTTTGGGGCTGGGGGGAACACAGGTGGCAGAGGGAGGAGGAGGCAACAGGGATGAGGAGGGACAGGGACACTGCATCCTGGTGGGGACCCCCCCTATTTCAGCCCCACACCAAGTACCCAGAGAAAGCTCAGCACCCCAAAAGAAGCACCAAGAAGCAGGGAGCATCCTGTTAATGTTGGAGGGGGGGGGAGGAAGAAGGTCGCTGCGTGAGCCCAACCCTTATACGAGACACCAGAGAATCTCAGCAGCGTGCAAAGCACATCCACCCCCTCTGCTGCACGCAGAGCACTTTATTTGTCACAGCCCAACCAGTTCACTGCCCTGCTCTCTGCCTGCGGGCCAGCACCAGCCTCCCACCAAAACCCAGTGTCAACATCCAGGGAAAGGTCCCAGAGCCCCATGGCTGGCAGGGGACACGGTCCCGGTGCAGCTCAGCACCATGGGGACACGGCAGCGAGAGGCAGAAGCAGAAAGAACCTGGGGTGCAGAGGACCCCCCCTCTTTGCACCCAAACCAGTCCTGTAGGCACAGGGGCAACACTGCAGCCCCCCCAAGAGGGATCCCCACACAGGGATGCCCATGGATGGATGGGATCATCCCGGTGCCTGCTCAATCCCAGCGGACCTTGATGGGGGGGAAGGTCCATAGGTCAGGGTGGCCCATGTGCAGCAGGGCGCTGCATGGGGACGTGCTCCAGCGGAACGGGGGCACATCATCCCAGGCAGGACCACTGGCAGCCACCAGCCCCAAGGTGGGGACCATGCCCGAGGAGGTGACCTGGGAGAGAAAACAAGGGGGGGGGGACACACATCAGCAAAGGGGTGCACCCCTAAAGAGGGGACCCGAGGGGGGGCTGGCTCCCACCTTCATGTCGGTGCCGCCGTGGCAGCGCTGGCGCAGGGCAGGGAAGGGGTAGGTGCCGTTGGGGGGGTTGAGGTCAGAGCGGGCGGAGATGGCGTTCTCTGCGTTCTGGGGGGGGTCACAGCCCCGGCACCGCGACAGCGGGTCCTGCAGGTAGTTGTTGGACCTGGGGAGTGAGCGGGGGTGATGGCAGGGAGGGGAATGGGCGTCATTGAGACACAGAGGCACAGCATGGGGTGGGTGGGAGGGACCTTAAAGCTCCTCCAGCTCCAACCCCTGCACCCTTCCACTGGAGCAGCTTGCTCCAAGCCCCTGTGTCCAACCTGGCCTTGAGCACTGCCAGGGATGGGGCAGCCACAGCTTCTCTGGGCACCCTGTGCCAGCGCCTCAGCACCCTCACAGGAAAGAGCTTCTGCCTTAAATCCAACCTAAATCTCCCATTTCAGTTTGAACCCATCACCCCTTCTCCTGTTGCTACAGTCCCTAATGAAGAGCCCCTCTCCAGCATCCCTGTAGCCCCCTTCAGACACTGGAAGCTGCTTTGAAGTCTCCACGCAGCTTCTCTTCTCCAGGCTGAACAGCCCCAATGTTCTCAGCCTGGCTCCATATGGGAGCTGCTCCAGCCCCTGAGCATCCTCGTGGGCTCCCCTGGATGTGCTCCAACAGCTCCATGTCCCCCTTGTGTGGGGACACCAGCACCGCACACAGCGCTGCAGGGGGCGGTCTAAGCAGAGCAGAGCAGAGGGGCAGGATCCCCTCCTTCAACCCGCTCCTTTCGATGCATCCCCCTGCATCCCCCCTTGTGTGGGGCACCCGGAGGCCTTGGGGTGCCGCCAGCACCCACCTCATGAGGCGCACCATGGAGTCCAGGTCATGGACCAGGGTCTGGTTGCGGCGGAAGATCTGGGCGCGCGGGTTCTTGTCGTAGCTGAACCAGTCCCCGTACTTCTCCACCAGCTCCGGGGTCCCGCTGGCGTTAAAGACCTCCTCGAAGTACCTGGGGTTTGGGGGGCAGTCAGCACCCCCAGCGCTGCGGGTTGGGGGGCAAGGCCCAGCATTGGCTGTGCCCCTCTTTAAGGGGATGGGGGCTGGATGGCGCTCACGGCAGGTTGTAGCTGGCCCAGTAGCCCTGCTGGTACAGCAGCTCCGTCCGGTCGGCCACCACCACCAGGCCCCTGTGTGGAGGAAGAGCATTGAGTTGGGATGGATGTGGATGTGTTGGGATTCCCACCCCATCCCAGAGCCGCACAGGCAGCTCCCGCCTGTATCTGTATCCCCATCACCCAATTCCCACCCATTGGGTCGAGGGAGTTGTGGCTTTCCCAAACCCATGGGGATGGGAGAGGGGATGCTCCCCCCATGGGCTCAACACAGGGCTACTCACGGGATCTGCTCCAGCACGGTCAGCACCCCCTGCGACGGGCTTGTCCTCCCCGGCGTGAAGGCGTTATAATCCACCACCATCCACTGGTTGTTGTACCTGGCACGGGGAGAGGAGGGAGCATCCCTGTGGTACCCAGCCGCATCCCTCCGCACGGTCCCAGCCTCCGGGTCCCAGCGCATCCTCACGTGCCGCTGTTGAAGCGCCGGAACACGGCGGCCCACTCGGCACCACTGCGCGCCAGCCGGTTGGCCACGATGTTCCGCAGCCACTCCAGGACGCTGCCGCGCGGCTCCAGGTACTTCCACCGCGCCGGGTTGTTGTTCCCAATGGTGGTTTCCAGCGCCACCTGCGAGGAAGGGAGGCTTTGGGAAGGCGGTGGGGTCGGGGAGGGGTCCCCGAGGGCCAGACCCCACTCACCAACCCGCTGCTGAGGATGTAGAAGTCATCGCCGGAGAAGATGGTGCCGGGGTAGGAGGAGAACACTTGGATGCTGCCAGGGATCTGAGCATTGCCTGGGAAAGGCAATGGGAGCATCAGCAGGGGGGTGTCAAACACAGCCCCCCCCAACCTCACTCACCAGCACCCGAGGTGCGGAAGGGCAGTGTGTACTTCTTGATGACGCGCAGCATGGACTGGTAGGAGGTCCACGTGTCGTGGGCAACCAGGAGATCCCGGTGTCCCGGCAGCAGCTTCAGGAGGGCAGAGCAGGAGCCCGAGCCCAGGATGCGCCGTGGGGAGGAGCGGTTCAGGGCTGACTCCAGGTCCTCCAGGTCCCCCCCCAGCTGCAGCAGGCTGGGGAGAGAGGGGGAGCAGGACTGGGGGTATGAGATGGGGGGCACTGCAACCCCAGAGCAGGGCCGCATCCGGAGCTCTCTGCACATCAATATCCAGGCCAGGGGGGTGCTGCTCCATCCCAGCCCAGCACGGGCAGCAGCGCTCAGCAGGGAGGGAAGGAAACTGAGGCAGGCGGTGAAGCAGGCACCCACCACCCAGCCCATGGTGTAGGGAGGAGCCTTGGCTCCATCCTGCCCCAGCAGCAGAGGGGTTTGAATGGGATGGAGCTGGGCATCCCTCATCCCCCAGCCTCATCTCCCCCTCCATCACCCCCGAAAAGGAGCTCACAGGAAGCCGAAGGGGGACAGAGAGACCCTGCCCCGGGGGAAGTCCAGGCGCCCGTTGTAGCTGTCCTCCAGCCCCTTCAGCTGCAGCAGGGCCAGGCGCACCTATGGGGACAGGGACAGGGCTGGGTACCACAGGGCACCCGGAGGGATGCTGGAGGACACGGCAGCTCCGGTGCTGCTGCAGAGGCAGGATGAGGCGCAGGGGGAGCGTGACCATCAGTGTGGCTGTGACTCAGCACCAGTGGCCAAGGGTGGGGGGGGCAGGAGGTGCTGAGCCACCCCATGGGCACCCCAACAGGGGTACGTATGGGATCTGCTCATGCAGGGGAGGAGGATCCCCATCCCTGTCATCCTGCATGGAGCACAGCCAGGACCCAGGCACCTCTGCCTCCATCACAGCCCCAACTGATGTGGGTTGGAAGGGACCTTAAACCTCATCCTTTACCACGGGCAGGGACACCTCCCACTGGAGCAGCTTGCTCCAAGCCCTGTGTCCTTATGTTAGCACGGGGGTCACCCAGGGTGCGGGGTCCCCTCTCCTCACCTGGTGCCAGTACTCGGGGTCCTCCCCCTTCCCCATCTGCTCCTCCATCCAGCCCAGGTTGGCCTCCAGGTAGCTCCGCAGCTTCTCGCAGTACTCGCTCTCGTACTTGAAGGGGCCGCAGTAGCCCACCATGGTGTTCATCCAGTGCATGTACATCAGCTGCGGGGCACGGCGCCGCTCAGCGAGGCGGGGTGGGGGGGGGTTCAGGAACCAGACAGACCCCAACCCCACGGGGGTCCCCCCCTTACCTCCTCGGACACGGCCGCCTCGGCGAGCCCGGCAGCGTAGGCCTGCAGGGTGTCGCTGTACGAGGCGTTGGTGCTCACCTCCAGGAAGGCCCAGCTTGGGGGGGGGGAACACACACGGGTTAGAACCGGGGCACCCCCCCCGGGCCAGCCCCGTCGCGCCCCGTCCCTACCCCACGGCGGGGATGCGGTCGTCGAGGCTGGCCCAGGCGATAGCAGCGGGGCGGCGGCCGGGCAGGACGCGGAGCCCCGAGCCGGGCTCCAGCACCACCGAGACGTTGCGGGGCTGCGGCGGGGGGGGCCCGGGCATGGCCGCGGACACCGCGCACAGCAGCGGCAGCAGCAGCGCCCGCACCGCCATGGCGGGCACCGAGGGGCAGGGGCAGGGATAGGGGAGGGGCTTGAGGTGGCCGCGCCGCCCCGTCGGGTCCCGCTGCCCGCCGCCGGGTGCCCGCATCCTGCCCGCAGCCCCGTGTGTCTCCCACCGTGGGGACCCCATTGGGGTGATGCGCTGGGTATGAGTGCCCTGTGGGCAGTCCCTGTTTACTGCAGGCGAAGTCCCTCGGGGCCCCGGAGCCCTCCGCAGCCTCCCAGCATCACCGCAGGCTCCTGCCTGGGGCCTGGTGCATTCGTGCCGTGCCATGGAACAGCGGGAGGGAGGGATGGGGCTGGACCCCACTGCTCCGGAGCCCAGGTTAAACTGGGGCTCCCAGTGCGGGTCCGTGTGCCCAGCAGCACCAGTAACGCCCTTTATTGGATCAGCTGGAAAAGGTGCCACACGCCTGAAGCTATTCCGGGATAGGCAGCACCCAAAGGCACTGCGCGGGTGGAGGCTCAGCCGTTCCCGGTTCCAGCGCTCCCGCATCCCTGCGCTCGGTGCTGTATGAGCGGCGCACACCCGCACCCACTGCGAGCAGGACCTGGGCCGCGCCGTGCGGTCACAGGGCCCCAGTGGGGCAGCATCCCCAGCCCCTGCCTGCGATGAGCTCGCCCGGCCTCAGAGACGGTGTCTCCCTCTAAAACAGGGCCGCATCACGCGGGGTGCGCGTCCCGCACAGAGGGAGCTCCGTGCCCAGTCCACGGCGGTGCGGTCGCTTTAAGAGCGGAGGGTGGCGGCCCCTTTAAGAGGCGGGCGGGGCGGTGCGGGATCAGCTGCCTGCGCACAGCCGCGGCGCCACGGTGGGTGCGCGGGGCGGGAGGGGACCCCGGGTACCACCGGCATCCCCGCAGCATCCCCCGGGGCCTCCATCCCCTCCCTTGGGGGGTGCCTGAGCCCGAACCCACTCCTGTGCCCCCCTCTTTTTGCTGCGCTCGGGGCTGACACCCCCCCCCCCCCGTTTTTTATCGTTCCTTTTGATCAATTATTATTAATGATAATTTGAGTTTTAATTATTTATTTTAACCTTTCCTCCCCCCCCCCGATACGGGGATGGGATCCCGCGACCTGCCCCCGTTCCCCCTCCCCGGGGGCCGCTACCAGCGGTAGGTGCCCCCCCCAGCCCGCTATGGGGCAGGGTGCTGTGGGGCCGGCCGGGATGCTGGGCTTGGCCGGGGTGCTGGGGCTGGCCGGGGCGCAGCCGGCCGGGTCCCCCCCGCTGCTGCTGGACCCGGGGCCCACGGTCCCACCCGGGGGGGAAGCGCAGAGCCACGGCCGGGACCTGGATGTGAGTGAGTGTGGGGCAGGGAGGGATGAGGCGGGGTTTGGGGGGGTCCTGTCCCTGCAGCCGGGGTCTCACAAGGGTTTCCTCCCGGTAGGAGGGGGGCGATGCGGGCCCAGGGATGGGGAAACTGAGGCAGGGCTGACAGTGCCCAGCGGTGCTCCTTACTGGAGGGCAATGGGGATGGGACCCGGTCTGAGCCCCCCCCTGCTCTGCCCCACAGTGCTGGGAAGTGCGGAAACACAACAGCTCCGAGTGGTGCCGCTTCATCCGGAGCAACCCCGACTGCCGGCTGGACGGCGGCTTCCTCAGCTACCTGGAGGGGGTGTTCTGCACCTTCCCCCCCCGGCTGCTGCCCCTCGCCGTCACCCTCTATGTAAGGATGGGCAGGGGGGATGCTCTGTGTTAGGGGCACTCAGTGGCACTGACCCCTCGCTCCATCCCCCAGGCTCTGTGGCTCCTGTACCTGTTCGTCATCCTTGGGGTGACAGCAGAGAAGTTGTGAGTAGCCCCATAGAGGGGATGGTCCCTGCGGTGAGGGGGATCCCGGTGTCCCGGGGCTGCCTCATCACCTTTCCCCACCTCTTCTGCCTTTCCAGCTTCTGCCCCAACTTGTCGGCCATCTCCACCAACCTGAGGCTGTCTCACAACGTGGCAGTATCCTTGGATGGGGAAGGGGATGCTGTGATGGGGTCACTTTGTGTGGGGAAACCCATGCAGACCATGAGCCATGGGGTTGGGTGCTGGCTCTGGGATGGAGCCCTGTGGCGCAGAGCAGGCAGACACCCCATGTCCCCATGGAAATGGGTCTTTTCCTTGACGTCCTCTCTCCATGGTGTCACCTTCCTGGCCTTTGGCAATGGGGCGCCCGATGTCTTCAGTGCCGTGGTGGCCTTCTCCAACCCACGGACGGCAGGGCTGGCCATTGGGGCTGTCTTTGGTAAGGAGGCCCCCATAGCAGGGGGTGGGATCGCTGTGGGGCATTGCCCCTCACAGGGACCTATTGCTTTGGTAGGTGCTGGTGTGTTCGTGACCACGGTGGTGGCCGGTGGCATCGCCCTGGTCAAGCCCTTCACAGCCGCCTCCAGGCCCTTCCTTAGGGATGTCATCTTCTACATGCTGGCCGTCTTCCTCACCTTCCTGGTGCTCTACTTCGGCAGGATCACACTGGGAGAGGCTCTGGGTGAGTGCTGGTGGGGCTGGGGGGGCAGTGGGAGCATCCTGGGGGTGCTGTAACCCCCATTGGGTCCCCATGCAGGGTACCTGGGGCTGTACATCTTCTATGTGCTCACCGTGGTGCTGTGCACGTGGATTCACCGGTGGCAGCGGGGCGATGGGCCGGGCCCCCCCGGAGCCTGGGAGCCAGGTAAGGCTCATGCCAGCAGGAGCCCTGCTGTGCTGGGGTCTCCATCCACTGCTCCCTCCTCTCCTCTCCTCTCCTCTTCCCCACAGAGATGCCGACGGATGCTGAAGAGCCGGAGTCCTCAGGCACAAACAGTGGGGACTATGGTATGTGGTTCCCAATGGGCCCTGCTCTGTCCTGAGGTTGTGACTGAGCCCATGGGGCAGCTATGGCCGGGTGCAGGGGCCATGCAGGTGACCACAGCCCCATGGTATAGAAGGGGTCTGGGGAGCCCCCATCCCGCTCAGGTGCCGTATCCCCTTGCAGGTGAGGAGTACCGGCCCCTGCTGCCCTCGCAGGAGCCCTCCCTGCGCATCCTCACCACTGCCCTCAGCCCCCTGGACTGCCGCAAGTGGAGGAGGAAGCCCTGGTACTGGCGGCTCTTTAAGGTCCTCAAGGTGAGTGACTGGGGACAGGAGCCCAGGAGGAGCCCTTCAAAGGGGGGACCTTGTGATGGGGATGGTTGGGGATGGAAGATCTCGGGGTGCCCTGCTCACGGCTGTGCACCGATCCCAGGTGCCAGTGGAGCTGGTCCTGCTGCTCACCGTTCCTGTTGTGGATCCTGACAAGGATGACCTGAACTGGAAGAGACCCCTCAACTGCCTGCACATCGTCACCAGCCCCCTGCTCTGCATCCTTACCCTCAAGTCGGGCACATGTAAGAGCCCTGAACAGCCCCAGACACCCAAAAGAGGATAGGATGGGGCTGGGATGGCCATCAAAGCCCTGGGGACTGTAGGAGCCCTTTGGAGTACTGGTGAGATGAGGGTGGGACAGTGCTTTGCAGGGGGATGGCTCTGTCCTCCCCATAGGGGTGGGGATTTGGGGCCCCCAGCGGCTGGGTCCTGAGGGGACAAAGGGGAGCAGCCCCATGAGAGAGTAAAGCAGAGGTTGCTTTAAGGGAGAAGGATTTACCTTGTACCATGAGCCTGGTTGGATCCTGCCCCAGCCCACTTTGATGCTCCTTCTTCCCTCCATGTGCAGATGGGCTGTACCAGATCCAGGGCGTCTTCCCGGTCTGGGGACTGGTCACACTGGTTGGCTCTGTCCTGGCCATCATCATCTTCATCACCACAAGCAACGAGGAGCCACCCAAGTACCACTGCGTAAGGGGTCCCCCAGCCCTGAGTGCGCACTGGGGACCAGCCAGGCCCTCCTTCCCAGTGCCCCAGGAGGGACACAGCTGGCTGGAGCTGTGCAGGGTCCCAAGGGATGCACCCAGGGCCCAGCTTGCCCCTCTTCTGGGCAGGTATTTGCCTTCCTTGGGTTTCTGGCCAGTGCCATGTGGATCAACGCCGCGGCCACGGAGCTGGTGAACATCCTCCGGACCCTGGGCATCATCTTCCAGCTGAGCAACACCGTGCTGGGCCTGACACTGCTGGCCTGGGGGAACAGCATCGGGGGTGAGGGCTCTGCTGTGCCCCGGTGCCACCCCATGGGCTCACATCCTCCTGGCAAACACCAAGGTTTCCCTTTGTCCCCCTGCAGACACGTTCTCGGACCTCACCATGGCACGGCAGGGCTATCCCCGCATGGCCTTCTCTGCCTGCTTCGGGGGCATCATCTTCAGTATCCTTTGGGTGTAAGGGGAAGGTGGTAGCGGCACTTGAGGCTCCTGGGAAGGAGCTGAGCAGGATCCATCCCTGGGATGCTGGCAGCCTTCCCTATGCCCTTCCCAGTGTGGTACCTTTGAGCAGAGGAGCTGCAATGATGGAGCCAGCAGCATCCCCATTGCTGTCCTAGCCCCAGTAGGGCTGGAACTGGCAGGTTTGGGATCTGCCAAAGGTCAGATCAGCAGGCGTTCCGTGGTCCCTGGACCAGGCTGAAGCCTCTCCTCCTAGAGTGCTCCAGGTTCTATTTGCCACAAGCTGGCAATGCCATGGGGTGCAGCCAGGGAGGAGGGATGCGGCCAAGCTCCATCACTCCCGAGGTCTCCTGCTCTGCTTGTCTTCCTCCTGAACGTGCTGCAGACATCGTGGTTGGTGTGGGACTGGGGTGCCTGCTGCAGATGACCAGCAGCCAGATGGTGGTGAAGGTAAGGCTGCAGGGACACAGCGGCAGGGGTTGGGGTGGCAGCAGGATGCTGGGGTCACCCTACATCACTGCCCCTCTCTCCGGCAGCTGGAGCCCGACAGCCTCCTGGTGTGGGTGCTGGCCGGGGCCCTGGGGCTGAGCTTGGTCTTCTCCTTCGTGTGGGTGCCCGCGCAGTGCTTCCAGCTGGGCAAGGCCTATGGCATCTGCCTCATCCTCTACTACCTGGCCTTCCTCTGCGTGGCCCTGCTCACCGAGTTCAGGGTGATCCGGCTCTCCACAGTGTGAGCAGCCCCACTGCTGGCAGGAGATGCGCATCCAGCTCTGCTTCCCGGCCGGATCACTGGGAATCCTGTCCCTTCTCTCCATCCCTGACAGGGGGACAAGGGCACCTCAATCCCAACTGTGCTGCTGGAGGCATCACTGCCAGCCCTTGGAAGCTATTGGAAAGGAAGAGGAGCTACATCTTCTCCCTGCTCTGTTTCAGCTTGTTCTGAGCAGGTTAAGACCTTGGCTTCCACTGGTCTCAGTGGCAGAGGAGAAGCCAGCTCCAGCCCATGGTCACAATGGAAGAGGTTTTACTTCTTCAGCCACTTCACTTTCCCTTCCCCATCTCCATCCTGGCTGCTCCGGGCCAGGCACTTCTGCTCCATGGGGTAACACTGCAGGTCTGAGAACAACTTTGTCACTGCAAAGCAGATGTGTTCATGCCACAGGCCTGAAATAGCTGAGGCAGAGCGAGGTGGGGTTAAGGTCACTGCAAGCAAAACTGGAGCTAAACCAAACCCAAGGAACCTGGGTTCCCCTGTCTTTTTAAGCTGTGTTTTTCAACTTGAGTTTCAGATCCTAATTCCCCCCTCCTGGGGTGAGCAGGGCTGTAGGGCAGGACTGGGAGGTTTCCACACGCAGTGTTGGCCTTTAAGCACTGTAAACTACATCGAACTGCAATAAAACCCCCAACCCCAGCATTGGCTCGTGCTGTTTGTGTCGAGGGTGTTCTCTGCTGCTCATGGGGAGCGTCACAGAGCCCTTACCCTGTGGAGCTGAGCCAGCAGCCCTGGTTTCCTCCGGGTTCACCAGCAGTTGATTTCCCAACACCGGTCACATGCGCCTGACTCGGCTGCGGTGTCACGCTGCTCCTGGCATGGGTCCACAGGGGACATTGCTCTGCTCCCCGGGATGGGGACAGCGCTGGGGTGGCCCCAGGGACTGGGGAAGCTGGGCTGGAAAGCAAAGGGCTGTTAGAGACACAACCGCATCTGTGCTGTTTCGCAAGAGGCCCAACGGCCAGCCCCGGTTCCTGCTCCTGGAGCCTTCCTCCTTTCCCTGACCACACACGGGCTTTGGCCCTGAGCCTGCTCACAACTCACAAGCAGTTGCTGGAATTGGGCAGGAGGAGCCCCGCTTCCTTACACACAGCAGGGTTAAAGCAATGCAAACCACAGCCAAGGCAGCCGAGCAGAGGCACGGGGTCACAGAACGCCCTCCTCACCCTAAACACTGCATTGGGGCAGCTGTAAAAAGGCAGTTGAAGGGATTACCTTAATAATAGGGCAGGGGGAGGGCGAAAGGGAAGCTTTGCACTGTCCAGGGGCAAGAATCCAGGGCACACATGGGGAATGTGCCCATATAAGCACTCACCAGTGGAGAGGGCAGAGACCTCTTCAAGTGCTTCAGCTGCAGCCGAGCCCCACTTATGGAATACCACGGGAAGGAGGGACGGAAGCTGCTGCTTTTACAAAGCCCAGGATGCTTTTTATTAGTGCGCTCCGAAAGAAAAAACCCAATCTAGAGAACATTTTACAGCTGTGTCCATAAAATCATGTGCTAAACAACCCCAGCATACAAAACCCTGCAGTGCTTCCTCCCTTGCTCCCTACAGCGTGATTGTCTCTGTCGTCAGTCTGTGTGTCAGGTGGGGAGAGGAGGAGAAATAGAAGGGGATGCCCCGTACTCGAACTCTGTTTCCTTCCAAAACCACATGGAAGAAGTAAACTGTGACCCTTTCTTGGTGTACAAAAATATACAGTCTGTACATGGGGGCAGCTCAACACCTCAGGAGCTGTGGAAGCAGCTCCTGAGCCCTGAACCCCATCCAAGCATTCCCACCTCCGTGACAGCCTCCTTATTGCATGGTAAGCAGGTTAGTGCCACCTCAATAAAGCTGCAGCTTCTTTTACACCCAAAAAGCATCCCTGACGGCCCTGTGAGGAGAAAGAAGCTGTAGGGGAATGCAGTGCTTGAACACAGCCACGTTTTGTTTCCCCCCTCACCTTCACAGTGCTCATTCATTCTGCCCACAGCTTAATAAACACCACCTCCTCCAGCCCCAGGACTAACCTGGGTAAGGCTCCCAGGCTGTGGCTCCATGCAGAGCAACAACTGCACTGCTCATTAATTTGTGGTCGAGTTTATGGTTTGGAAAACAGCCCTTTAAGATCCTTCTCGGTTGAGCTCAGGAGCAGTTTCATACCTGCAGGACCCAGGAAGGAAACAAGAGCTGCCCTGAGGCACCCAGGGAATCTGGCAAGGGTTGGGAGCAGACACTGCATGGAAAGCTGCTCTTTCCATCCCAGTGCCCAGATGCTCCCCTCTGTGCTCTGTGCAAGGAGAGGGTTTCAGAAGCAGCTCTGTTCTTCCCTGCTTTTGAAAGGCTCATCCACTCAGGGGATGCTCCTGAGCTGCTGGGCAGGATCAGTCGTCTCCCGTTGTCCTTGTGCCATGTTGTGAGGCTACCAAGGAAAACACAGGTATGTGGGACAAGGGGAATGGGGACACACAGATCTTCCACTGCCTGATCTGCCTGGAGGAAGGAGAAAGCCTCCCCTGCAAGCTCTACTCTTAGCTTGAGCCTGAGGAAAGATCAAACAGCAAGAGGCAAGGACAGCCTCACTCTCTGTGCTGTCAGGAAGAAGAAAAAGGGACTTACAAGAGACAGGCTCTCACCACGCTGTGGGCAATGAAACACGAGCAGTGATGCAACCTGCCATGATCACAGAAGAAACGTGGCAGGATGGGAAGGGATCCCTCTCCCCTTTCCTTCCCACCCCTCAGCTATGAGGTCTGGCAGCCTCCTTGGCAGCCACAGGAAGGAATCGCTGTCTTCCGTGCTCCTCCTGCATCCAACATTCAGAGGAACAGAAAAGCTCTTCAGTGGATCCTCCCAAGCTCTGACTCAGTCAGCATCTGCCAGGCTGAGGAACATCTCTGCACAGGGGAGAGCACGGGAGGAGCAGCACTGCTGCACTGTATGAACAAAGCAGTGACCTGGCAGTTAGCTGATGCTCATAAGCTCTCCTAACCCAGAGCCAAGCAGAAACAAGTCAGACTTGGAGGTGCAAGCTCTTTGATTTCTTCCTCTGAGCCATCTATGTGAGCTAAGGACCAGCCAGAGACTTGCCACTAAGTGGCAGAGGTCAACAGCCACCATCACCCTGCAGGATCCCCCCTCTGAAGAGGGAGAAGCTCTGGGGTTTCCAGGGGTGATCCCAATCCCGGGCAGTACCACTGAACTGAGCAGCAGCGATGCAGGTATCGGATAGCTGCAGCAGAGACAGACTTTGTCTCCCCAAACTCCTGTCCAACCCATGGTCATAACATAGTAAGATGCTGGCCCTCTGCCACAGAACTGCTCAGGGGCAGCCAAATTCAATCATCAGAGCTGGATCTACAGGGGGTGCATCTAACTGTGCCAAAAAGGAGGGGGAAGGCAGACTGCTCTTCCAAAAGTGCTGAAGTTTCACACAACCTCTCCTTTTTTGCATAAGGAAAGGTGGAGAAGAAAGAAAAGCTCATTCCCTGATCTCTTATTCCTAGGTTAATGGTACCCTTTAAGCAAAAGAGCTCTCAAAAAGGGCTAAAGTTTTAATACTAAGCAGGTAGCTCTGGCGCGTTTCCTGCTGTTAATGGATTACACATCCCTTTCCCCAAGGTCTGTTAGTGGTAAGACAAACAGCAGGCTGGAGCCTGGGAAGTGGCTCAGGGGGAGAAGGTCTCTGTCCTGTCCGAGCTGTTTGCTCTGTGCTGAGCACGGCCATCATGCTCAGTCTGTGTGTAGCAGCCTTACACAGAGTCCCCTGGGCCTCTGGTTTCCAGCAGTTCACTGCCTAGGGGAAGAGCTTGAAACCCTAAAGCCAAACACTGAAGAGATCTATATACACCATCCCAATATATACGCTGTGAAGTAATACTCTAGGTTATTGCATAGAAGGTGGCTTGCATTAGCTAGGCCTAAATGACAGTCTGGGATCGTTGTCGGAGGCTCAAGGACTTCACAGAGCTGTTGGAAGCAGATGCAGGCTCTTGCAATGGTGTCTGAGTTTCCTCTTTCCTGGAATGCTCCTCATACCATTCCTGCAACAGGAGATCAAACACACCAAGATAAGGCTCTGCCCTACACTGGCCCTGCAGCCCCTCAAAGGTCCCTGAGGGCAGGGTGCTTGGCTGCTCTGCCCTGTGAACTGCAGCATGGTTGTGATGGATGCACCAAGCCTTTCCCACCCACAGTCCAAGCAGGAAGCACCAGCTACAGTTGGCTGAACTGATAAAACCTGAGCAAGGAAACATCCCTCTCTCAGGATGTCTCTCCTGAACCTCTCTAGCTTTGATGTCTGTGGGATGTTTGGGATCTGTGGAGTTGCTCCCGATCCTGGGCAGTCTGTTATGAATCAGAGACCAAGCTGAATGGGTGGGGAGCTTCTCTGCAGATTTCCATCCACCTCCATGGTAAATAACATGTTTAATTTTAGGAGGGGTTTGAAGACTCATCCCCAAGCAAGCTGCCCAGGGACAGAGGACAGGTTTAAATGGGTATGATAGTAACTCTTTCAGTACTAATCATTACATTAGCCCATGACCTTCAACCTGGAGGTGAATACCTGGAGAGGACTACAGTGACCAAAGCCATGGCATAAAGCTCCTGACCACGAAGGGTGCTAGCAAGAATCCCCCAGACAATCTAGAGAATGACCTGATTTAAGTGTTCCCCATCTTTGTCAGCTTGCTAAAGGAAAACCAGGCAGGAGAACACTGTGTCTGTCAGCCAGACACACCCAAGCTCACACACAACCACATTCCAGTGGCTTAACAAATCCACCTGCAGCAGCCAAGCCCCAGGAACACAGCACACGTGTGCTCATAGCCCCAGCAGACACATCCACCTCAGTGAGTCCAAGCTCAGAGCCTACACACCCTGGGAATGAATGCATGGAGCTGGGCTGACACACACCATGCTGAGCAGGCTCTGACATGCTCTGGGGGTTAAAGAAGACCCTGAGCACAAGAACTGGTCAATCTGGAGCACACTTCATGTACTGGCCACCCTCCATGGCTGCCTGGGACTCGGAGGAAGGAGGCCTCTAGTGTTTAAAAGGATGGTTTGTTCCTCTAGGTAATGTTTGCCTCACCAGAGCCTTGCTGGTGTTTCCAGCTGAGGCCCACATACCTGGATCTCCTCCTCATACATCTTCATACTCAAATCACTCTTGGTCCTTGATCTGCGTCCCAGAAACACTGTTGACATTTGCTAAAGTGTTGGGGGAAGGAGGAGGAGAAAACGAAGACAAAGACATTCATTAGTCACTGAGCAGCTCACCTGGTCAGTTCCTGGAAAGGCATCCTTCATGATGACACCCTTCATGCTGACACCCATCATTCACCGTGGAGCTCAGGCTATCCTGGGCTCCTTCTGCTGTCATGGGAAAAAGGTGTTTTAGGGGGCACACCACCTGAACAAATGCAGGCATCTACTGCAGGCTGAGCCAAATCACACTGGGCAGATCCCCAAAGACTACAGAGGGAGATGGGGCTCAGATGGATGTGACTGTCAGTGGTGCTTCATTTAGTGCCTGGAACAAGGCCTCAAGCTCAAGCTTCCAAGTAAGATCCTGTCTAAGACCAATCTCAGATCTCACTTGCCTAGACCACACTATTTATTGCATAGGCCTGGACTTCTTAAATCACGTGCACAGAGAGCTGTAATCTGAATTGCTTTCTGACCACATAAGTTACATGCACAGGCTTGAGAAGCAAGAGATGTTATCATCATTCTGTACTCCACTGCAAGGTTGAGCACAGCGACTTTCTTCCTTTGCTTTATTGTCTTGACAACTGCTTCTGAGCAGCATCAGCATGGCTATTCTGAATTCTGTCTGTGTGAACAAGAGCTCAGCCTTTAACCAAGCCAACCAAAGCAAATAAAGGTCATTTAAGAGACCAAAGCACCTGCACTTTATAGTGGTGATACAAGAATATAATGGCTATTATTAAAACAACCACTTAAGCTCTTCCCAGATGCATGAGACAACAGTTCTGAGGCAAGAGGTCAGCTCATTTTCCAAGCCATCCACCCTGGTATAAAACAGTGCCATGGTGCTTGGAATCAATATCACCATATTGCTGCACAGTGTTTTGGGATGGCACAGAGAGGGAAGCAGAATTACAAGCCAGTGGCTTCCTTAGGGAAAAACAAACCTACTTTTATCCAGTCAATACTGGGCAGGACAGCTCTAAGCAAAGTCTGCAGACAACAGCAATGAGCCTTTGTCTTTGTTGAGGCTATTCAGAGCATTGGGGAAATTCACCTGCTACTTCTCTAGAGCAGCAAAACTTTGTGCCCATGGTGCAGGGTCCCTCCAGTAGCTCAGCTCTCAATGATACAAAGACACATGCAGTGTCTCTCAAGACAGCATTTGTGGCCCTGGCACGCCTCCCTCCCTTGGAGCTGAGAGCTTGCACCCAGTATTTCCTCTTACCCCATATTTGTCCATCTGCAAAACGATCTTCTGCAGCTGAGCCGTCTCACTGGCACCTGAAATCCGCTTGTACAGCTCGATGATGCCAACCACTTCCTCCTTGGAGATCTCCTTCTCCAGCACAATGCCGTTGTCTTCTGGAGAGGCAAGAAGAAAGAGAAGTCTCCAAGATGAGCATTGCTTCATCAGCCACTATTATAACCCTGGAAGGCAAAGCTTAACAGCACACAGGACCAACCCAGATGTCAGGCAGCCTGTACCTGCTTCTGTGACTAGAACATGTAATGTCTTTGTCCTGCAACAAGGCAGGGAAGAAGTTAACCAGTGTGTAGGGCCAGCAAGCATCGAAGCCTTATAAAACATCATGCTCCTCAGTATCTTGTAGCTATTTGTTTGCCTGCAAATTAAGTAGCAAAGCAAGTAACCACAGGGGAATTGTTGCCTTTTGACCTTCAGCTGCCTGACCCAGCTTGGGAGTTCAGTGCTAACCAATGTCTTTCAGTGCACCTTGCAAACAGGGTGCAGGAGGGATTACGATGGGAAGTATTGCTGTAACTAACAATGCCTGGTGCCTATAGGCCTGTGGCACACAGATTTGATCTTCTGGCACCTAAGGATGAGGGGCTGATCTAAGGTACTCCTGTGGCTGGGGCCTGCATCACTTTGCTGTGGTGGATTCTCTGGTACTAAATATATGAGCGCAGAATCTCCTTCCTGCAGAGAAGTGTCAAGAATTATAAGGACTAGTTTGCAGGGAGAACGGCTAGAAAAGTCTGGGTGTAGCTCACCTGAAGGACTAGCAGGAGAAGGGCCGTGAGAGATTAATGTGTTTATGGCACCTAAATTAGCAGGTCATGGAGTTACATGCAGTTCAGACAGCCAGCTCAGGAGACAAAGGACAGTGATGACTCACGGGGGTGAGGGGATGCAGAGACCAGTCCCTGCCAGTTCCTAAAGGGGACAGGAAGGCATGTCCAAAACCAGCTCGTAGTCACCAGCCTAAGTACAACTGGGAAGAACAGGACAGACAGAGTCCACTGTCCTCCATTGTCATGGCAGAGTGCTGGTAAACCACACAGCATTTTGGTACTTGAATGCTGGACAAGCCACTTGGAGACACGTTCTGGTGCCAGTGGGTGTATTAGTGAGGAAGGAAATTGGTTTAAAGAGAACAAAGAATCCCCTTCTCCTCCTATAAGGTCTCTTGTTGAGCTCTGCTACATCATTGCTCTAGTGTTTCCTAGATTCCTTTCCTGAAATGTGTCAGACTTCTACCTTCAAATAATTTGCTTGAAATGGCTCAAGTATTTGATCTTTGCTGGCCTATCTTATTGTCTTTTACAGACATAAGATGCCAAGGAGAGAAGACACAACACTGTAGGTCAACCAGTTCTGACCTTCTGAATCCTGGCTCTTCCGAGTGTAGTTCATGCGGAAGACAAAAGCATCCAGAATAAAAGCCACGATGATGGTCATCACCACCTGGGAGAAGATGTGGACAGAAGGGATCAGGAGGCTGCTGCTGGGGGGGGTTCTTTCAGTCCAACAGGAAGCTGAGCATTTGGTCTGTGCTTCAACTCAATGCTCCTCCATGGCAGAGGAGATGCACATCACACATCTACCTGTGAGTAAACTACTAACAGTCAACTACAACAGGGACATGCTGCCCTAGTCCTTACCCCAGGCCCAGGTTTGTGCAGCATCAGCTTTGTCAATGCCCATAAATTCAACTTTCTGCAAGTCATGTGGACTCACACTTGTTTCTGCAAGACGTCTAGGTAGAAGTGCAAAGCTGTCCTCATTTAGGGATGGAAGCTCTCTCTGAACACAGTAAAAGCTGTTTCCCTTCCTCATTCCCACTATTAGATGCAGGAAGCATGCCCAGAAACCTACCATGGTCACAATATAGAAGATCATGAAGTAAAGACGGCTCCAGTGAGTGGTTTGGGATGTCACCCCTTCCTAAAGAGGAGAGGGAAGAAGTCAACAGTGCACAAAAGAAGGGAGAGTCTGCTGTTAACTGTTTGCCAACAGATATAAAGCAGCATAAACACTCTCCCTCATTCATGGCTCTGTAGCTAACCCTGGAACTGCCTTCACAATGCTCAATGCCCCAACTGCTCCTTGCAGCTAATCTGCCTCTCAGGCTAGGAGGCATTCCTGTATGTGACACACAGAGCATTTAAAGCTTGAGGCTGCGGGAGATGCTGCTGTGAGAACACATCATGGACAGCAGGGTGACAAGCTGGAATACAGAGTGACTTCATTTGTGCAGATTGTGAAAGAAACGTGGCCTGAAGGCTGCTCCAGACTCATGCCCAGCAGCATGCCAGCACTCAAATGCCAGCCAGTGATCAGGACCAAAAGATGTTTGGCAACAAGTGACAATGTTGGGCCTGTCTCCAGTCACCAGGGGAAGAAAGCAGTGGTGGCCTGGAAGATCTAACTCAAGTGGCCAAGAGCTGTCTATGCACACAAGGTTTACTTACCATGATGATGTACCAGTCATTGACGACCGTCAGCTCAAACAGCGTCACTGTATACAAGTGGGAGAAAACCACAGACAACTGCTTTATCCATCCTGACCTACTTTACAGTGATTCTTAGATAAAGTATTTGACAGGGAAGACTGAGGCAAGACACCAACGTTTAAACACAGCAGGAAATCCAGAGGCAGAACCCTCATCACTGCTATTACTTCAGACAAAAAGCATTAGATCTACAGAACCAGGAGCATGGCTTAATCTGTGTTTCTTAAAAGAATCAGACACAGACCTGGCTCTTTCCACCAGAGAGCACAGAGACCTCTGCAATCTCCAGCAGATAACCATCTCTGCTTATACACTAAGAAAAACCATGGAGAGTAACCAACATATTCAAGTTATTCTTCATCTGTGGGTTTATATAAATGCATTAGCATCACTATTGGCTCTTTAGAAGAGTAGTGACTTAAAGCCCTCCTTAAACATCTCTGGAAGTCTGGTCTGATCACCAGTCAGAACAGATCTGCTGGCTTCACGCTGGCTTTTAAGAGCCCCCATGGCTTACCCTGCAAAACACTCATGGCACTATTAGCCAGCTGGAGTTCTCCAGACAGAGAGAGCAGCATGCTGAGTGTTTGAGCTGCATTAGTTGGACGCTGGGAGAGTCCTGGGCTTATATGAGCATCCCAGTCCTGCCATCCAGCTCTGCAGGAACACAGAAGCACTAAGGAATAATCTTTGCTACAGACAAAACTGCCCTTACCAAAGCTGTTCAAAATGTTGTCGAAGTTGTTGAGATAGTAATAACCTTCCTCCACAACCGTCTTGTTGCCAACTGTATGATTCACCCAGCGGTAGGCATCTGCAACTGTGCTTGTGCTGGTTGGAGAAACCAGGACAAAGAATGAGACTGGAAAGGCAAGGCAAATCTCAAGGGTTATAAATACCAAAACACTTTGAAAGCGCTGAGCAGCAGTTTCTGCCTCTTGGCCAACACTTGCCTTTTCCTCTGAAAGCAAGAGCCTCTCTCCTTCACAGCTCAGCACAAGCCCAGGGAGCATGTGAGACTTTCTAAGCATTCAGCAAATATTATAGCAGAGAAACTGAGTGTTTGAGTTGGACTCCTGGGCTCACACCCTTAAAGCTCGGTGTTTGCAAGTGCTCTGCCATGGTTTAAGATAAAAAGGGTACAGGACAGCTTAGCTTCCAAGACCAGGTGAATATAACTTGGTACAAAGTGAGGCCTTAACTATGTAAGTAACATGCCTGGACAAGCAACTCTGGCATCACCAAGATAGAGCAGATGTTACCAGAGTTTCCAGTCACAGCAGCGTGAAGGAGTGCTCCCAGTGCAGCTCCCTGAAGCAAGCTAGAGCTCATTTAAACCACCCAACCTACCACAGAACTCTCTCCCTTTCCAAACCTTTTCAAAAGCCATTTCATCCAATCTTACATACATAGAGAAGTGAAGTGGCTCCTAGATTTTCACAGCCTTAGATGCAAAACTCCATTCAGACCCATTCTCTGGCCTCTTCTCACAGGGAGATAAGCTGCCAAAGCTCACTGCTGCTGCCTATGCCCCAAAACCACTGCAGAGAGGGGAAGATTTGCACTACTCACTTGCAGCAGTTCGGGTAGACCACGCCAGCAAAGAACTCCATGCCAACAATGGCAAAGCAATAGTAGAAGATCAGCAGGGTTAAACCCAGGCTGGAGGCAAAAAGAGAGAGCACTGTGTTACTGGAGAGTTGCTAAGGCAGGGAAACAGTCACAGGCTGGCTGCTCTGGAAAGCATTTCCAAAGGATGGGACCCCCAGACCACCCTCCCTGCTGCTGTGGCTCTGCAGTTCTTTGCCTGCTCTCACTCAAGAAGCCCTAGGATAAGGAGCTTGGCACTCACTGAAAACAGAAAGTAAAGGGCAGCCTGGATCCCCTCCCAGTTTGTCTTTTTCTGGTAAACAAAAGCCTCTCCAGTTTCTTTATTGAAGAACAACACACACTGTTTCTGCCCTCTCCATGTCCTTGGATGCAGGGACTGTGCCAAGAACAGGGTTCTCTAACTAACGCAGTCTGCTAAGACCTGCTTCAAGGGAATAAAGTCTGAGGATGCCCCTCTCTAACACCAAGCTCCTTCTGCCCCACCATTTGACAATAATGCTCTTCAGTGGTTGTACTAAACATCTGAGGCTCAGTATATTCATGTCAATGCTCCTCCCAAATGGACCTCCCTTCTCATCAAAAGCTGGGGTTGGGGAGAAAAATCAAGCATTGGCTTGTAGTTATCCTCCTAACACAAAAGTAGGAGGAGGCCCAAGGTGCTGGAGTGTTGCTTATCACACACTGCTCCAAGAAACTGGAAGATGAACACCTCACTGCAGCTCACTGAGGGATCAGTAACAACCTACGGACAGATCAGAGCAGACTGACCAAATCTTGAGCAGGTTTGACAGGTCCCTATCCTAGACCCCAGCTCTAGTAGTACCTGGCCATCCGGGGGAACAGCTCAAACATAGTGTCCAGGACGTTTCTGTAGCGTTTCTTCAATTTAAATAGCCTGAAAGGAGAAGCCTTTAAAGGAGAAGCTTTTAAAGGAGGAGTTACCTACACACGGCAATGTTGCTGTGGTGGTACCACAGTCCTCTCTACCTCCCAGCTCAATGAACAGCAAGGTTTCCTGATCCCAAACTCACAGGATCCGCTCTTTCTGCTCACCTAACGGTGTCCCACTGTCCCATCTGAATGTTTATGCCACATTCAACCAAGTGTTCACAGGACTGAGGAATCTCAAGGAAAAGCCAAGGTCTTTTTACACAGCACGATGCATAAATAGCAATTTAACCAACAATAAATTATAAGAACTTAAACTAGTCCCGTGCACAGGGTCAGGACTCATTACTCCTTTCTCTGCTTCCCCCATGACCCAATAAAAATTGATGGAAGAAAAACTACATTGAGCTAATGTAAGAGTTGGCAACTCCATCAGCCTCTACAGAGAAGCACAGCTGCCAAACACAGCCTTTGGCAGGGCAGCAACAGAGAAAACAGTATTTCCCCCCCCCGCCCCTTGAGTGTCATAAAGGGTTCTTTAAATCCTCACTGAAGAGCTAAATCACATTAGCTTGTTTCTAACACAACAACATTTTGCCACTGTGGCCCTCGTGCTGTTGTGCAGAGGTACATCCCAACAGCCTCGAAACAAGAGGGTTAATGAGACCCAAATAACTGAGCTGCAGGGAGGTTACAGGCCACAGTCTCGCTTCAAGTGTGTGAGATGCAGGGAGAGCAGGGCTGCACTTCACCCTAGAAAGCAGCATCCTTTGAGAACTGTAATTTCTGGTAATTCAATGGAAATTATTAAAGTGGCTCAGGCTGTCTCACCCTGACACAACAGCTTTCCTCTGAACAGCATCAGACCGTTTAGAGGAGGTGTAAGAACCCCACGAAGGCAGACACAGGATAATCTGCCCCCGGTAAATCCCTTGATCTCTATTAGAGATCAGCTTAAGCTCCAAAGCACGGGGTTTCATATGCCATCCCAAGTTTTTGTTATCATTCATTCTGATAACTCTGGCTAATCTCATTACCCCACGCAATTCCTGCTTGCCACCATCACGTACCCACAGAGCAATCCTTGCCCTCTCCTGGTAAGGAGCTCTGTCCTCAACTGGATTGATGGAAAACAAGCCTGGCTGTTTTCTCCCCTCTGTATCCCCCTCCAGCCTTCCCATCTCACCTCAGCAGCTGAAGGGGTCGCAAGACCACAATGAAGTAGAAGGGTTCCATGTTAAACGCCAGTGCCATGAGCCCCAAAAATGCAAACAGGGTGACTGAGAAGTCAAAGCTGGAGAGGAAACAGAGCAAACACCACAATAAAATAAGAGCAATGATATGGCACTAGTGTTTCAGCAGGGGAGAGGTACTTGGTGCTGCTCCAGCCTAGCAAGATACACAAAGCCTGCTGATGGCCTCGTCTACAGGCCTGAAAACTCACTTCAGAAGTCAGTCTTTCTAACCCACCACCTCTCTCTCAACAGTATCAGTGCACACTTACAGATTCCAGCCTGAGGACAGGTACTCGACAGGCCCCAGCCCAGTGGTCTTCAGGAGCAGCTCCACGCCATAGACTGTAAGACAAGATGACAGCCATGGTCAGAAACGAGCAGCATCACAAGGAGGGCTTATGCAAAGGTTTGCCCTCAAAGATGTGTGGTGCTTTAAGTACAGGACTTCTGAACATAGGTTTAACAGACCCCCACCCATCTTCCTTATTCTCTGTGTGATGCCAAAGAGACATTTCCCCTCCAAATCAACCTATTTCCCTGTATTCATGGCGATTTCTCTCCAGAGAACCACTCAGTTGGCTGACATCCTATAAACATTGAGGCACAAGCTCCTGTAGGAAAGGCCAGAAAGTGGTGCAGGCAATTCAGTCCTGCCTGTTCATTTCCTTCTATCTCACTGGAACATATTGACATCCCATAGCCTAGCACTGACCTGCAGGGAGAGATGCTTTCAAAGAGAAGCTGTTCTACTTTCCCCCTCTGTCTTGGCAGCACCCTGTGGCCCTGTATGTTAAAGAACACCACAACAACGTGATGATACCCTGTTTGTCACTCCCAAATCCCTCTTTGAGGTTCCAAGGAGGGCGCTGGAGAGAAGTGAAGAGCTGGATGACAACACCCTTGTTAAAAGAAGCATTGCAGGGTGCCTCTGCCTTCAAACTTCCCTAACAAGTGTTTTGAAGCCTAATGGCAGGGAACTAGAGCTATCCTTTAGAGTAACCTCTCCTAGATTCTCTGAAGAACCTCCTTTTGCAGTTGTCATGCTATTTTCATTCAATGGAGCTATACTTTGCTTCTCCTCAAGCGAGAGACACTGGCAGGAGAAGGGAAGTGAATTCACATCACTGGGGAGTCCTACAGCAGGGCAATGAGCCAGCACATGAAGATAAGCAATTGCTTGTATCATGTGAATGGCATTCAATCAGAGAACTCATCAATTAGTTCAGCCAGTCCTTTCAGTGTTCTCCTCAGCCCCTTGCACTCTGCACTCCAACAGCACTGCCTTGCTTTGTGTGGCAGATCTGCAGCAGATCAGAGCTGGTAATGCCTCCTGGAATAGCCAGGGCAGCACAGAGCAATGTGAGCAACTCCACACAGCTCCAGCTCCGGAGGAGCCCATCACCCTGCACACTGTGCCTAACAAATGAGGCTGCTCTGCTCCCAGGGCTGAAGCCAGAGGAGTAAGAAAGCAGCTTCTGCAGAGCTGCAGCAGAGTTCACATGGGTCTGTGTGGATGCTGACAATCCCTGCTAGGCACAGCACTGCTCTAGATGGAATCTGTACATGTGTGGTTCAGTTTTAACTTCAAACTTAACATAGGAACAGAGCTATCTGTTCCCTTCCCAACTCCTTATGAAATGGCATCCCTCTGTTGGACCCATCAGCTTACTTGTGAGGAAGACTATGTAGCTCCATGGGACGTTTCTGGAGAAGAAATTCCCTCCTGCAAGACACAAGAAGAGCTTTGTCTAGCCTCCCCTGGTTTTTAAACCCCAGCACCACAGGCAAGAAACAAGCTGTGAGGTTGCCTACCTTGCAGCATGAAGGTTTCAACAAGAATCCAAATTCCATTCACAGCCACCACAGTATCTAGAAAACAAAGTAAAAACTCACCTCAAAACCACTGCTGGAGCAGAGGTCATACATTTCCTAGGCTAATAAAAAGAGCACAATAGAGAACAAGTGGCAGGGTCATTGTTTCCAACCAACACACTTATAGACTCTTCCATCCTGAGTGTTCCCAGGTCTTTAACAGATGTGGTACCTTTATCTTCAGAAGGAAACAAAACTAAAAGAAACCAATGGTCTGAATGAGCTCAAATAATTATCTTACATTCTGCCATGTTATTACCTGTGTATTTCAGCTTCCTCCTAGTTCTGGAAGAAGATCTCAAGGACCTTTGAGTCCGCAGCAGTGCAGGACAAAGCCTTGTTGGATCTATCGCTGCTCTCCAACATTCAGATCCTGAGAACTGGAGGTGCAGGACCTCTCCTTTTCACTCAGATCTCCTCACTCCACCAAACCTCCTCAGTTTAGTATCCCCATTTACAAAAAACCTTCTCCTCCAACATTCAAAACCTCCAAATGACTGAGTAGGAACAGATCTTTCCAAACACAGCCATGTTCTTCTAGAGCAGAGGAGCACAGAATCATTCCTGCAGTTGCCAAGGGATCCCTCCAGCGATAAGGATGCTTGCACCTTCTCAAGTACAAACAGAAGAAGGTGTTTGACTGCCAAGGCAGTTCCTTACCCAGCAAGATAAAACCCACAAGGCTTGTGAAAGATCCCACCAGCCTACCTCAGCACAAGCAGCTGACTCCTGCAGACTCAGACCCACAAGTGTGTTATGAAGCAGTGAACCGATGAGCCTCCCTAGAAGACTCAACACAGTGAGAGCTGAGTCCAGGCTGCTGTAGTGCTTGGTACAAGTATGAGGGTCCCTCCCTCTCTACCAAAACTGTACCTGAGCAATGGCTCAGAGCAAAAACCAGGCCTCACCACACCGAAGACCTTGCAATGGCTGGCAGACACAGCATACCAGCCCCAAGGGAGCCAAGCAGACACTGTTACTTCTACTTACACATAGTGTATTGGAACACACGGGACTTCACAAGGATGTTGATGCCTGCATGAAGGGAAGTATGACAAAACACATGTTTATATGATCCTCCAGACCTCACACAGATTCCTCTATCATCTTCTTAGAGACATTTTTCATAGCAATGCTCAGCACTGAAGCTACACAGATTAGCAGATTATTAACTTGCACCTCTTGGGACCAAGTGCCAATTTCCTCTAGGATTTTAGCAGCAATGAACTCACTATCCTTAATCCCCAGGATGCCTTTTTTTACCCCCTCTATATCCTAGTTCTGTGGTGTGGACAGAGGTAAATGCAGCTGCTGAAGCGCTGTCTGTGTTTGGAACAACACACATCCTGTCAAGGAGGGTTGAGTGCATCATATGTAGGACCCCCAGGGCAGCTGTGTCTTTGGATCATGATGGTGTTAACTGTCTCCCACTAGCATGCAGGGCTGAGAAAGAACTGCAGACAAGTTCTTATTTGTGAATGGCTACATTCAATCAGGAAACCTGGGACATGAGAGATAAATCACGTTATCAAGGCAGATCACACTTTTGGGTATTTTGGACCTCTTTCCCCTTCCTAAGCTGCACTTAGAGAATCATAGAGTGGTTTGGGTTGGAAGGCACCTTAAAGCTCATTCAGTTCCAACCCCAACTTGACTTGTATGAGTGCTGCAACCACATCTTGGAAGTAGGAAGCCCAAGTTTTGTGAACACACAAATCCCACTCCACAGTCACTGCAGTGAGTTGCTGCCTGGGGTATGGAGCAGAACTATGAAGTACTGGATTTGGGAATCATAACTCCCCACCTAACTTCTGTGCTCAGAAAGGAACACAGCCCTCCATGACCTCAGGGTTTGCTTTTGCCAAGAAGTCTCTTGCTTTAAGGAAGCCAGGATCAGAGCACAGGGAATATTTTACATGATAGAAATCTTCCCTGGAGACCCTGAACACAGAGAGTGTAGGTTAGCAGGCCTTCATTCAGTGGTTTACCAGGGACATAAGAGAAGACCCCTTCAGAGGGCTCTGTCATTGTAAAGAAACGCTCTTCCTGTTAGCTGAACATACGCTGTCATGAAAGCACAGCCTGTTACCTTTAAAAATAAGGAATGCTGTCCTTGGAAGGTCATCAAACCAGTGCTCCCGATTTCGTTTTGCCTGGAAACAGAACAGCCACAATCAGAAACAGTCGATGCTACACCCATACAGAAACATGCAGTGATGGACACCCACCTTATCTCCATCATCTGCTGCTTTTAGATTGCCTTGCTTTCCTACCCACCTTCTCTTTAATCACCGGCCTCCCCCACACACTTCCCTTCTCTTCCACCCAGTAAATACTCACCTTCCATTTTAAGCCAACAACTTCATAGAAATTGTAAAAATCCTTCAGACTGCAAAACAGAAAGAAGCATCTGATCAGAGCCTTGGAGCTGGTTACATCCTTAGCTCTCCTCGGCAGGCAGCAGCAGCACAGAGTCCCTGGAAGTTATTAACTCCTTATTAGAGCTGAACCACAGCTGATAGAACTCAACACTGAGCTCTTCCCAGCCTGGCCAAGGGTTACTGACTGACAATAGGCACAAGAGGGGCAAAGCCAACCTTCTTCTGCTACAGCTCTTAGAGGAAACTGTGATCCTGCTCACCTCCAGAACTCTGCCACTGAGAGGGAAGCCCTGAGGCTTTGACAGCAAACTGAGATGGAGTTTGTACTACTCTTCATGAAGAAGCCTTGGACTGTCTTAATGCCTTGTACAGTCCTTTTCTATCATCTTTGCACATTTTCTTTTCAAGGTAACAGTGGTATTTGGGCAAGGACATGAAAGCAAAGAAACTCATAAACCACGAATGCCTGTCTAGGTGCTCAGGGTCAGGTCTCTAACAGCTTTTAGCTGTCTGGAAGTGAGGATGCTGAACTCCTCAGACTTGTACTGGTGTCCTTAGGTGCCTGTCTTTAAAACTCAGTTTTTCTCCCTGTGCCCTTTTCAATACTTCTCTGTGGCACTTGGTTTTAAAGAGAAGCATCAGCACCAGTTTCATGGGAGACTCACCTGGAACCTATCTGCAGCCAGAACAAAGGAAAAGGAAGAGAAGGTCTCCTGCTCTATTTCCCTCTACTTCCATGCTGGCTGGAGTTGGTTGCCCCCATCCACCCACCAGGATGGCAATTCTCTGCCTCATAACACAGAGGATGGCAGTCCTGAAAGCACCAGCAGAACCAGAGCTTAATTAGCAAAGCCCCAGGGGATGCAGCCAGCTGCTGGTAAAGCACAGAAACTTGTAAAGCTGGGAGGCTGCACCGTGTGCAGAAATGCTCCTTGCAGGCTCTGATGCTGTTCCTCAGTTCCTTGCTCTGCTCTGGCAGGGGAGGTGGGAAGCAGGCTGCCAGCAGAGCGCTGTATCCACAAGAGGGCACGCAGGAACTCCATCGCCTCCGAAGGGAAACCTCAGCTCTCAGGGTACCCACCCCTCCAAGCTGCTTTCCAGGCAAAGCCTTTCAATCGCTTAACTCTATTCCCACATCTCAATGTTCATACCCTAAACCCAGCCATCCCTTCCAAAACACAGCCTATAGCTTCAGAGAGTAAAGCCACCTCCCTGCTCTGGGTGCAGCAGTAAGATCCCATCCTACCTGACTAAAGGAGTATTGCTTTGATTCAGTGCTTTGAAAGTGAGATAGCGCTCTCTGGCACACATCCGAGGCTTGTAAAACCGCAGCAGCCCTTCAAAGTGCTTGAAGGAGATTCCAGACGGCCTCTGGAAACAAGGGAATGCTGTCAGAAGCAGCAACATGAGGCAGAAGCACACAGAGGCTAACAGATTGAGTTCTCACTCTGGATTCGGTTTAGGCAGGATTTCTCCATCGCTGTAAGATGCCATTAGAACTAAGCCCCAGAAGTACCCTAAGCTATTACTTCAACGTGCTGAGCTAATCCCAGAGCACAGAGATCAGGAATTCTGGCAATCATCTCCCCCACAGCAAATGCAGAACTCTTCCCTGTTGTCCTATCATGGGAAAGTTGTCCAACCAGACACCTCAAGCAACCAAGTTCAACCCCTCTTCATAGGAAATTAGCAGGCAGCCTAATAGATCCCATTACTGGCACTACTTTAAGACTATCAGCTATGTGCCCTCAACATGAACTAATCTACTAGAAGTGGGTTAGTTATTTTGGGGCCTTATTTCTTTTGCTGCTCCATGGTTAAGCAAGAAATCAGCCCTCTCCCCAAGTGCTCTGTCCTCATAAAGAGCTGTTTGTAGGTGTGTTAGCTCTGTTTCTGAAGCATTTACTCATGCAGTACCCAGATCTTTACCTGTATGACCCACCCCTCCTCTCAGAACTGGTGCTTGAGAGGCAAGTCAAATGACCCACACTGAATCAGAAAGAAAACAGTGCCTGCATGCACTCCAGAACAGATTTCACTCATTTTATCACGACACTTCCATGATCTCACACTGAATTTCAGGCTGCTTTGGTTTTCTTCCAGAAACATGCACACAAGTTACATGAATGAAAAACCCCAGTAACCCTTGGTGCGACTACAGGCAACAGACCCCAAGCATCTCTTTTGGAACATACTTTGTAAACTCTCCAGAGCACTGGTGGTGTCAGAACACTGCTGACCTCCCTCCTGCTGCACCTCAGTGCCTGCAGAGCCCTGTACCTGCTTGGTGATCAGCAAGCGGTACGCATGCTGTATGGCTGTGCGCTTGTGCAGCAGCAAGGACTTGAACTTCCTCTTCTCGATGTCATTGAAGGTGTCAAACACAACAGCCAGAAGCTGCAGAGAGAAGACAAGAGAGAAAGTCATATTTTGATCTTTATATTCTGCAGCTCCCCGAGGCACTGCGTCTTCAAAGAGGCAGCATCCAGCATAGAGAGGCAATGAGAGGCATTGCCTGCAGGAGGCATTTACTACACTGAGGCAAGTGGAGTCAGTGAGGGCCTGTTGGCCATAAGGGATCCCACAAAGGGATCTCTTCTTTTTGGAAGAGATCCAGATGGTTCAGGTCTGTGGCTAGTGGCTCTAGGAGCTAAGGCTAAACCTCACGCATGCCAACAGAACAGTATTAAAAGGTTTGGTAAAATGCCATGATTTCTTCCTGGAAAGCAGGTTTTGAGGGTTCTCTCTGGATTCACCCTTCTTTGGCAAACCCACGTCAAAGCTAACCTTCCATCCAGGACAGCAGCAGTGAAAACTAAGCATCAGATCACTCACTTTGGGTTGCAGAATTCCTCAACTCCTTTGGCAAGCCCTTTTCCACCACTCACATCCTGCCCTGAGCTGGTCCTGGCCCTGCCCTAGATGCTGCAAGAAGCAGAGCCAGCACAGCAGCCATGCTCTTGCAATGCAGTTGGCAGCACTCAAATCCTGCCATCCTTAGTAATTCCATCTCCTTCAAACTGATTTAGAAAGTATTTTAGGTAAGGCCAGATCATAAAATGCCACTTTATGATAAATAATTAAGCCAGAAAAGGACAATAAATTTCATGCAACCCAGTGTTGTCACTCCAAGCATGATATTAATGTGAGAGAAGCTGAAAGGTATCATTTTGATTTTGTGTGATTTAGTTCAATTCCTTGTGGTTAAACATTAGGAGAGTCCTGTCCGTAGCAAAGCTGCCATTTCTAGGAGTATTCTGCCAAAGGGACTCAGGTTATTATAGAGGACTTTTGGGAATGAGGAAGCCTCTGCTGGGTAATGAGCTCTGAAGCCAGGCAGAGAGAATTCAAACGCTTCAACAGGGGACTCACCAAGTTCATGATGAAGTAGAGCTCAATGGAGAGATACACTATGAAGAAGACACAGGACCAGGGGTTCCGGGCGTAAGATGGCATCATCACATCAGGGAAACTGCATTCAAAAAAGACATAGATCTAAGCACCAAATAGCTCATGCTACACATCCCACTGCAAAGACAAGAGGCACAGGGTGTGTGTAATCTCACAGCTGAAGAGCTGCACATTTCTGCCTAACAGGGCTGCTACCTGTGCTGTAGGCACAGGTTTGTGCCTAGCAACGAGCAGCAGGAATGTGGAAGCACGGTGAAAAACATCAATACAAAAAGCACATTCCTTGCACATCCCAAAAACCAAATGGGCAAAAGGGGTTTGGAACGGGGCTAAGGGCTGTGCTTTGACACGTAGCAACAACAGCAGCACACCCTCAGTGTGAGGGGGTTACGACCTAAGATTTAGTCCATCCTTTGCTAATTTCCTAACCCTCAGAGCTCTCCTTCACCGTGGATCAACATTGACCCACTGTTGTTATCCCCCTTTCCTAGTAGATAGGCGAACTGAAGCAGAGGAATAGGAATTTACTTCCCAACAGCAACCTGCTGGCTGGCAAAGGAGCACAAAGAGAAACTTTCCCTTCTTGATGCAAGGCCTAGTAAAGGTGTTTCCCCCATTATTGCCCTTACAGTGATGAAGCAGGCTGAGCTGCTCAGAGATAACTCTGCATCTGAGGTCACAGTGTCCAGCTAAAATGAAATACCAGCTCTTCCCATGAGGCTGACCCAGGGAATCTCCCTCTCATGCAGAGGAAAAGAGAGGGAGTATTTCTGCAAACAACCTCACGGCTCTGGCAGGTTTCCTTAAGGACAAAGTGAAATCCTGAGCTAAGAAAGCGCAAACTTACTTTGAAGTGGTCAAAAGCACGAAGAGATTCACGAGGCTGCTCTCTAAGGTATTGAAGTACTGAAAGAAAACACTCCCATGACAAAACGCAAGCAGAATTTCACAGTGGCATTTCATTCACAAACCAAACAACCCTCTCCCTCCTCCCTTCAATACAGGCAGCTCTGCAACTCCCTGATGCCTCCCCTAGGGAAGGGTACTTCAGCACTGATCTGGTTTAAAGGTCTCTAACAGATGGCACGTGAAGAGTTAAACCAATTAAAAGCTCATCCATTTGGAGCAGTTACTCCCAACAAGTCACAGACTCGCAGCAGCAGGAAGTAGTGGCTGTTAGACTGACAGCCACAGGCTGTCACCCAGACACCTTCCTCCCCTGGGGACAGGGGCAGGCAGCTCATTTGACTGAATTAAGGCACCAAGAACAAGGAGCAACTCGGTGAATGTTCCCTTTGGGACATCCTGTCTTTCAGGAAGTTCTCTGTGCTGTCTTCCTTTCGAGCAGAGGGCAAAGTAGGGTAATGCTGCCAAGCAGCCTCTGACCAGCTTGGATCTGGCCTGCCAGGACCAGGCTATGTCTACATAACAATGTTTGATTCTTCAGCCTGTTAAAATGGGACTGAAGTTTCAGCTGCAACAAGAATCAGGGATACTCACCGGATCCGAGTGGTTAGGAGAAAACAAGTAAAAACCTGGAGAAGCAGCAGGGAAGGGAGAAGAGAAGAGAAGAAAGGAGGAAAGAACAACAAAACCAGTCTGTTTAATGTCACACATTAGTGAGTCTCTGTTCCCAAAAAGAAGGTCACACTGAGAGTGAGCCCTCTTTGAAACCATGAAGAGGAGAGTGTCTGGAAGGCCTTCTCCATACAGATTTGCCAATACATGACATTGGCATTGTACCAACCCATTTGGAAAGCAAACTTTCTGGGGATTGTTTGAGTATAGGACTTGTAACAGGTACACTACAGATATATGTATTTGTGGGAATGCAGACTTATCTTACAAGGATTGAGGAATAGTTGATGGAACCACAAACACACAGAGCACAGGCTATCCTTTAGCAGAGGTCAAAAGGACCTTTGTCTCAAAATCAAATACTCAGCTTCTAGATCTTTAATTCTGCCTTCCAGATGACTGCAGATGAACTGGGATAAATGGAAGAACTTGGCAGGACTTTGAGCCTGATCAGCTATATATTCATCCAGGCTGTGTGTCTGGTTTAAGAGCATGACTTCACCTTCCATAAATACAACTCACCCAGGATGGCAAAAATCACCATGAAGAAAAGCAGGAGGAGAAGAATGTCAATAAATGGTGGGAGGGACTGGAAGATCTGTCGCAGATTTCTGGAAGATAGAACAGCAATGAAGTAAAACTTGCATGTTTTCTCTTCCAGGTTGGCAAGGAAAGAAAACCCTGACAACACACCATACTTGAGGACTTCCTTCCCACTCCCTCCAAGGATCTGAAGTAGAAGATTGTTTCCAAGCTACCTATCTGTCCTTTGCAGGCAGCTCTCAGGTACTGCAAACAATACTGATGTCACCCTGTCAACTTTCCTGTTCCAGACTAAAGACAAGCTCTGTGATTCATGGTGCAGTTTACAGACAAACCTGGGACTCAGAAACAATACAGCCACGTGTGCTCTCTGAGGTGGTTTATACAGCTGAGGACAGTACACATAAGCAATAGGACAAGGTGCAATGGGTTTAAACTTAAACAGGGGAAGTTCAGGATAGATATAAGAAGAAGTTATTTACTGTGAGGGTGGCGAGGCCCTGGAACAGGGTGCCCAGGGAGGTTGTGAATGCCCCATCCCTGGCAGTGTTCAAGGCCAGGTTGGACAGAGCCTTGGGTGACATGATCTACTGTGAGGCGTCCCTGCCCACGGCACGGGGCTGGAAGTGAATGATCTTAAGGTCCTTTTCAACCCAAACCATTCTATGAGCACATCCAAAGCTACTAACTATGAAATTTCCCTGCATTTCCAAGACACCACGTACACTTCAGTCACAATTACAAAAGATTGATGCAAGATCTGAAATGCCCCTTAAAGACACATCCTGAGATGCCTGCAGGATCAGTGTGCTTTTCCTACCCCCTCAGTGCCAGACATGACAGCAGAGAGCCCATGCAGCTGCCCACTCACCTCCTGACAGCCCCACAGTAGCGGCAGTCCACCAGGAAGATGCAGCGCAGAGCTCTGGTGATGCGCACGTGCGAGGTTTGGCGCACCAGCACCACGATGGCCTCGATGAACTGTACAAAGAGCACACAAGTCTGCAAAGAAAGGGTTAATGAGGGGCACAGCTCAGTCTCCTTTTGGCAAAGGCAAAGCTCTCACTGACCACCCATTTGTTTGGACACTTGAAGCATGGGAGTTGTCCCTGAGAGCTTAAGAGACCTCACATGCATCACTTGGCAGCTGGGACACATGGCTAGGTCGTCTCTGCTACAGCATAGGCCAATATTTAACCTGGTTCTTTGGTTCCTGAAGATGCTGAAGGAGAAACACTAACACTCAAACACACAGCTTACCTTTACCATAGTTCTTTTGTGCCTAATAAAGGTTTGGAAGCCCAGCCACCTCATCTTCATGGAGAGTTCAAAGACCACCACAATTAACGCAAACAGCTCCAGGGTTGCATGGACCTGTCAGAATGCAGCAAAGCTTCTGGTTAAAAGCAGCAGCACAGCAGAGGCCAAGCTTCTGCCCTTCCTTTCTCAAGAAGCACATGGGTTTGACAATAGTCTGAGCACAGCTCTGACACAGGCAGGAAAACCCAAGGCCACTCTCAGAGCTAACACAGCACTGATTTGCTTTGTGCTTTTATTATTGTCCCCTGATCAGTATGAGCTCAGAATTTCCTGAAATCCACATTCCTTTTGGACTTAAGAACACATCCAAAAATGCATTGATACATTTGAAACAAAAGGGCAAGACCCCAGTAACTTGAGCAGAAACACCTTCAGAAGACTGAGACTGAAGTAAGACAGTGTAATGCAGGAAGAAGAGCTGCTGGGCAGAGAGGGTTTCCATAGGGAAAGGTTTTCTCTTGATCCAGACCTTCTGGACAACCACAGACAGGGTCTTATCAAGCTCTGGAAGAGAGTACTGCTTGAGGGCAGTGTTTTGGGAAGGTTAGACATAAAACTTCAAGTCACTCCCAGGTTAAAAAGAGTGCTCACAACACCGGGAGGAGAGGCCAGGAGGAGGTTTAGCAACCTGGCCCCAGGCTGAGATCTGTTTGCATTTTAGGAACCAGTGATGGTGCTAAGGGCACTAACCCTGAAAATGACTTTAACAGCACACAGATTCTTGAGTTATCACAAGAAAAAGGGAAGCCCCCACACTTCTCATCCTCACAAATGGAGAATATGAAATAAATGATACTTTCATTGTGGTCTCTGCCCATCAGATGAAAAAAGGACGTTTTGCTGGCTGGCTTTTCTGCTGTCAACCAATTTACAGAACAAGCCAGGTGGCTTTCTTCCTGCTACTGCTCCCTTCTTCCTCTATGCTTAGCCTTCTTCTTCCTCTCACCCAGCACTGCAGAACAGGCAGACTTCTTCACTGTGCCCCAAAGTACTTACATAGATGCCAAGACGGAGCATGGGAACAGCCGGTGCTTCGCAGAGAGACAGCAACAGGAGCAGCAGTGCTGTGCTCAGCTCCATTAGGTAGAAAAGGTGATTGTGTACAAAGAGGTAGGCAGCAAGTGCTTTGGCATTTTTGGGGTGAGTGAAGAACTTGTCATTATTTTCTCCTTCCTAGGGCAGCAGGAATAAAGAAGAGAACAGCATCAGTGATGCTCGGTATTGTAACAGAGCTTTCCACATGAAGAACACAGACTGTTTGAAGGGTTAGATACAATTCCCATCAGACTATCCCCATGTTACAGCCTAACATTGAGCTGTTTATCGAGGCATGAGCTCTACACACACAGGACACTCCCTTCTGTTCATAAGCACGTTTCAGTAAGGAAACTCCTTAACATCCAGAAACTCCTGCTTCAGAGAGCCTTAAAATGAAGAGTGCTGAAAGAGTTTATAAAGGTAGGCAAAGAAACTTCAGTCAACACCCCAGCATAAACACAGCACGGGCTTGCCATCACTTCCACATGTTTACACACTGCTTTGATTAACTTCCTCAGGACAGACCAGCAAAACACAGAGATAAGCTCCAGGGCACCTGCCTGACAGGGGCTCCTCTTTATCTTGGCCTTGCAAAATGGCTGGGAGAAAACACTGGAGCACACACAGTGTTTTCTGCTTCAGGAATGTGGGAAGACAGACTCCATGTAAAATCAACAAGCCTCAATGCATATTTGTCACTCCCTCTTAACTAGAAAGCTTAATTAACAGGAAAAGGTCAGGTACTCCATCTTAGCAATCTGCTGCAACTGATTTTTACAGAGCTACATCAGTGCTATCTTTACCTCTAGGATGAAACTTTGCTTGGGGAGAATTTAGAGGGTTTTCATGCAGAAGGACCCAACAGCTTCTTTTCTTTCTTGAGTCAGTGGTTTAAGCAAGGGAGCCTTTGACACTCACAGGAATCTTGCAGCCTCTTGGAAACCATCGTAAGAGACCATTTTTGCTCCGCTGGGACACTCAGATGCACAATAAATGGTTTGTTTGTGGGTTTTTAAATTAACATCTTTCCAGGTAGGCAATTACTGTAAGGACAGCAAGCTATTGCTATCAAAGGCGAGTAACTGCGATTGCAAATGGGTACCAAGGTCAGGAAACAGGATCTCTTCTCAGAAGTGAAGCATTCTCGAGACTAATTCAGAAGAGGGTTTCAAACATTTCTCATTTACTCATCTTGCTTTCTGCTGAAGAACAAGGCAGCGCTGCCAGGTCAGGCAGGCAGCTTGTGAGCAGGACAGAACCCAGCAGCGAGCTCCATATCCCTCACGCCAAGAGAGCTGCAGCTCCCAGCAGCAGGGCATCCTCATTCACGCTTGACAAAACACACTCGCAGGATGAAAACCAGGCTCAATTCTGCCTCTCGGTAGCCAAGCAATTCAAAACATTGCTGGACAGCAGAGCGCTCTGATTCAGATAAGACACTCTTGCCTGCAGCTACTGGTTCAAATAAACAAGCTGCATGCTCTTTAAGTTCTGCCTACTTCAGTTCAAGGACATTGTCATTATGACCACTGGTCAAGGCAGCAGCAAGAATAATGTGCATGTGAAGGGCCAAGCCTGCTGTGTACGTTACCATCAGCCACTGCAGCAACTCAATGACACTTTGCAGAGCAGCTCCAATAATCATGAGTTTAAACAAAAGCCTGGGAGGGCCTGGAGCTACCAGTGCATTGTCAGGGCTGCTCCTGTGTCTTACACAACTTCCAGGGCTTGAATGATGCTAAACAAACACCCCAGGGCCACCCACCCAACCTGCAGCCAAGGCAGGAATAGGGCCTGCACTTCCAGAACAGGAGATGTCTCCAGGAAAGCACTGACCATTCACCCTGCGATGGCTGGAGAAGAGAAGGCTGCGTGGAGATCTCCTAGCAGCCTTCCAGTATCTGAAGAGGGCCTATAGGGATGCTGGGGAGGGACTCTTCATTAGGGACTGTAGTGATAGGACAAGGGGTAATGGGTTAAAACTGAAACAGGGGAAGTTTAGATTGGATATAAGGAGGAAATTCTTTCCTGTTAGGGTAGTGAGGCACTGGTTGCCCAGGGAGGTTGTGAATGCTCCATCCCTGGCGGTGTTCAAGGCCAGGTTGGACGAAGCCTTGGGTAATATGGTTTAGAGTGAGGTGTCCCTGCCCATGGCAGGGGGGTTGGAACTTGATGATCTTAAGGTCCTTTCCAACCCAAACTATTCTATGACATGACAATCTGTGACAAGTTACAGACATCTCCATGGCAAGGTGGCAGAACTGAACACACACTGAATCCCTCAACTACTACAGTCCTTGACACTAGAAGAGATGGGAGAGGATGGGTAGCTTCTTCAGTTGCTCCCAAATGACTTGCCAGAGCTTATGTGAAGGTACTTCCAGCATTGTCCTGTTCTTAGAATCATAGAATGGTTTGGAAACAACCTTAAGATCATCCAATTCCAACCCCCTGCCATGGTTAGGAGCGTTTACCACATCTTTGGGCAACCTGTGCCAGTGCCTCACCACCCTCACAGCAAAGAACTTCTTCCTTATAGCTAACCTGAACTTCCCCTGTTTCAGTTTGAACCCATCACCCCTTGTCCTATCACTACAGTCCCTGATGAAGAGTCCCTCTCCAGCATCCTTGTAGCTCCCCTTCAGATACTGGAAGCTGCTCTGAGGTCTCCATGCAGCTTCTCTTCTTCAAGCGGATTCCTTCACAAGGAGCCAATCTATTAACCTCAAGATGGAAGCTCCATGTTTCTTCTATCAAAGCACTACCAGAGTCTGAGCAGTCCATTTTTCACACAGCACCCCAACAGCAGGGCTCACCTGGAGGTAGATTGCTGCCTCTTGGTAGTTCATTTCCCAGTTGTGTCGGGCAGAGCTTTGCTGCGCGCAGCAGTCCCCCACAGCAGGGCTGGATGCGTCATTAATAACATCATAGCTACCTCCATCTGCAGCAGTAGAATAAGAGACACATTGATTCACAATTAAGCAAGCTGAGATTGATCAGGAGGCATGAAACAAGGCAGGCACCAGGATCACAGACAAGCATCAAGAGGTGGCAGAGTACTCAGGACACTGCCAACCTGTACACAGACAAACTGATTCTTTGCATGTAAGAGCTTAAGGGACACACTCAAACCCTGCATTTCAGCCCAAGAATGCTCCCAGATCAGCAAAAGAGACAGCATCTTCTTTAATACCAATACCCTCTGATGGAAACAAACAGCAAGAGTTTCTCTCTTCCTATTTCTCTTCATATCCAACAGATTGATGTTGGAACTTTCAGGTCTCACCAGGAAAACCCTACCAAAACCTGCTTTACTGAACACTAGTACCAGATTTCATAACTAAAGATTTCATTAAAGAAATGAAAACACGTGAAACCCAGGCATGAAGACAATTACTGTTCAAAAAGGGAATGTCACCTGGTTGCTGCTTCTGGGATTGGGATTTGGATGTTGCACCTTTGACAAAGGATATACCTCAGTGAGACCTGCTTAGACCAAGCATGAAGCCTGTGGTGGAGCTGCTCATGCACTCAGTGCTCCAGAGTTTCAATCACTACCCAAAGCACACAGTTCTTGCTCTCAGCAGAGACTTCCCTCCTCCAGCATCTCATGTTCCCAAAGACAGCCCATGTAAAATGGATCTTGCCAGTGCAGAAGTGCTGATTTCCTGCTTTTCACCAGCACAGAAGCTGTGATGTGGTAGCTTGTTCTCTCTGTCTTATGAGAAGTTATCTGAGGGTGGGAGCAAAATGACAATGAGTTTCTTTTCCTCTCTCGTGACAGCACGCTGCAGATTTGCTGCATCTCTGTGCTAGGACAAAGTAACCCTGATGGAATCAGTGATTCAGTCTCTTTAGAACACCCTCCGGAGTGGATAAAATGCCAATGCCAAAAAGACCTACCCCCACCAAGAGGAACAGCACCACCGTGCTCCTGGCACAGAGGCAGGGAGTGGGAAGCAAGCAGAAACCCCTTCGCCAATACAGAGCCCCAGCTGCCTTTTCCACCCTTAAATCAAAGGAAGAAAACATTTCTCTGGGATTTGTGAAGCCTGTCCAGATTGCATGCTCAGATTGCTGAGAATCCTGCAGCATGAAGCCTACTTCTCTTCCTTGCTTCCCCCAGAGCCTTAAAATACCACTCAAAATCTGGACAAGTGTTTGAATGAGGCTGATTCCTCGCCCACATCCCTTTCACACCTTGAATGATCACATTGCTTGAACAAAGTGAATGACGGAGCTTTTTATTTATGTCCAGGACTGGAATCTTCTGGGTTTGTTTGCTTTGTAATTCAAAGATGTCAGCAACACGCATTATATTGTGAGCTCGAAAGAGTTCTGAAATATTAGTATTTGTGAGGCTTTTACCACGTGTGTGTTTCAAAGAGACAGACTGCAGCCTGACAGCAAAAACCCTTCTGCATTTTCAGTGCTCCTTCTGTCATAGAATCACAGAATCCCAGACTGGTTTGGGTTAAAAGGGACCCTAAAGCTCATCCAGCTCCAACCCCTGCCACGGGCAGGGACACCTTCCACTGGAGCAGCTTGCTCCAAGCCCCTGTGTCCAACCTGGCCTTGAGCACTGCCAGGCATGGGGCAGCCACAGCTTCTCTGGGCACCCTGTGCCAGCGCCTCAGCACCCTCACAGGGAAGAGCTTCTGCCTAAGAGCTCAGCTCAGTCTCCCCTCGGGCAGGTTCAAGCCATTCCCCTTGTCCTGTCCCTACAGGCCCTTGTCCCAAGCCCCTCTCCAGCTTTCTTTTGGGCCCCTTTAGGCACTGGAGCTGCTCTAAGGTCTCCCCTTCAGGAGCCTTCTCTTCTCCAGGCTGCCCCAGCCCAGCTCTCTCAGCCTGGCTCCAGAGCAGAGCTGCTCCAGCCCTCGCAGCATCTCCATGGCCTCCTCTGGACTCACTCCAACAGCTCCACATCCCTCTTGTGCTGCTGCCCCAGAGCTGGATCAGGGCTGCAGGGGGGGCATTCAGGAGACACTGAAATAGCACAGAATCCACACCTTGGCTGCACCAGCAATTTTGGGGAGGAGGGACATATTAAGCAGGTCCTTACAATATTACCATGTTATTGGAGCATTACAGTAGAACACCAAAGCATACTCTGGTCAAATCAGTGAAGGTCTGTGGCATTAAACAAATCAAGCATTAAATCAAAAGATGCCAAAAACACCTTTACCCTTTTTCACACAGACCAACCTCTCTTTGAAAAGGATCAACACTAGGAAAAGAGACACCCCAGCAAAAACCCAGGTCCCCTTTCTGCACTTCACACAGAGGACTCGCAGCTGAAACAGAAGAGATGTCCCATGAGATCAAGGTTGTGAACACAAAACAGCACTCAGAGATGCAAATCAGCAACAAAAAATAACTCTAGAAACCCAAGATGTTTTCCTCCTGTCTCAAGCAGGCATCATCTTTCTAGGCACAGAAAATGCACTGAAGTGGGGAGCTGCGTTTTGTGGCTCAGCTCCTTCCCCATCAGGTACCAGAAGGTTGATCTAGCATCCCTGAGGCAAGAGCATCATCTGGATAATAAATAATAATAAAAATAATAATACATTTGAAAAGCAACCCTCTGCCTGTTTGTTTGGCAGCCCTCCAGCTAGCTAATTTCCTCAGCTGCTCCCATGATAACAATGACACAGACTAATGCAACCTCCAACTCCGCTCCGCTCGTGCTGCAGAACATCCCCGACGGCATTTACCATTAGTATGGAGCTCAATGAGATAGGAGGATCTCTCCACAGGACTCCCGTAATCCTCGAAGTAGATGGCAGGCTGCTCTCTCCACTGCATGGCAGCTCCCACATCGGGAAGCAGGCACGCTTGGCTTCAGGGATGGGGCCAGGGAGACAAGTCAGATTGTGAAGTTCCTCCCTCCCTCCCCTCCGAACGCCGATCCTCAGCTCGCAGCTCCTTCAAGGGGAGAGCTGCAGAGCTTTCTCCTGAAGAAGCTACAGAAAGCACAGAAGGTTTTCCTCTGCTCTCTGCAGAACTAAACGTTTTCTCCCCTCCCCTCTGAGGAAGGTGGCTCAGACTTCAGTGAAATCGTTTCCCTATCGCTGTCTAAGCAGCAGGATGTTTCTAAGTGCAAGTTGTTGGGAGGCTTAGCTGCGGGACAAAGAGCTTTTAAGCATGACCGTGGTGGGGAAGCCAGGTTTCGTGTGCCACGCTCTCTTCTTTTGGAATAGAGCAAGAGCTTGCTCACCACTGAACGTGAGCAGCTAAGGGGAAAGGAGTCCAAGTGCTGACTGCTCACAGCGAGGAGCCTCCCCCCTGCCCCCAGCGAGCAAGGAAAACAGATATTTGTGGAGCTCGCAGTACAAGGGGCATGACAAAGTAAACGAACTGAGCTGCTCACAGATGGCAAAGCTTCCTTCCACACTGGTGTAACTTATCCCAGGCGTTCCCTGAAAAGGGAGAGAGGGAAGGAAAGGGGGGGGGGGGAAGGAAAAAAAGGAAAAGCAAAACCAGCTGGCTGCTTACACAAGGCATCCGGAACGATACTGCCGGGACTCCAACATTCCCATTCAGTGCAGCAGAGCATGCTCCTGTGTAAATAGTTTCCATATGTCATCATTACAATAAAAAACAAAACCACAAAAAAAACAACCAAGAAAAGAGAAAGAAAAAGAGCAGGAGCAGAAACTTTGCAGAGCCCAAATTTTTCCCTTTGCAAAACAAATTCCCTGCTTAAGGGAAGGGAAAAGTCTCCTTTGGCTCAGAGAGCAAATACACTCCTCTGGTTCGGAGATGCTCATGGGGGATCTCGAGAGCAGGGCTGGAAGGGGAAGAAGGGACAGAACACATTCCCAGGAATACACCACCCTCCCAGCCAGGCTATTACGTGTCAAACTAAGTCAATTCAGACTCTCATTGTTTGCTCTTTGGTGTCTGCATCTGTTTTAATCGATAATATATATGTATTTTTTAATCCAAACTACTAACCTCCTAGAGATTCAAAGAGTTATAAACAAACTCTACAGGGTAGCTCTCCCATTTGCCTCCGAGCTCTCCCAGTCTGGCTCTCATTAGCCTGTTTGCCAGATGTTCTGCTTTCTAGATAGCACACGCTTTTTATGGCATTACACTGAAACAGACTGAGATGCTTCTAATTACCTCGCCTGCCTCCAAAGCCATGTGCCTTTACTGGACTCACCAGGGCTTTCTCCTGCAAGGCTGAGGAAGGTCTTGATGGAGCTGCTCGTTGCCATCCTGCCAGGATAATGCTATTTTAGCACGTATACCTGTGATAACAGAACTCTGCAAGCTGTGTGGAAGGCAGAGCAAGTGACATAATGCAGCAAAAATATCCTTACAGTTCAATCTGTCATTCAGCCTGACATCAGCAGCTTCTCTGGGCACCCTGTGCCAGCGCCTCAGCACCCTCACAGGGAAGAGCTTCTGCCTAAGAGCTCAGCTCAGTCTCCCCTCGGGCAGGTTCAAGCCATTCCCCTTGGCCTGTCCATACAGGCCCTTGTCCCAAGCCCCTCTCCAGCTTTCCTGCACCCCCTTTAGGCACTGGAGCTGCTCTAAGGTCTCCCCTTCAGGAGCCTTCTCTTCTCCAGGCTGCCCCAACCCAGCTCTCTCAGCCTGGCTCCAGGGCAGAGCTGCTCCAGCCCTCACAGCATCTCTGTGGCCCTTCTTCATTAAATACAACCTAGTACCAACTTTGTCCTTTCTTTCAATCTTGTTTGTAAGAACTGTCTTGCATTTACCCCTACCCTTACAGTCATAATTTGTTCTTCACGAGCCCTGTTACAGAACACACTTGCCACCTGTTTCTTCACAGGAGCACTGTCTTTTCCTGTTGGAGCTGGACACACTTCCAAGAGTGCAGGCTGTCCAAGGCAAATGTGGCTCCCTAGAGCTGAGCAAATGCTTCCCAAGTCTGCTGTAAGAGTCCATATGGATGTGTAAGCACCACTAAGGTCTCACTGGGAGGCTTCAACCCCTCTGCAAGCAGCGAAAGGGCATGAAGCAGGCTGAGAGTGACCTGGCTTCAGTCCCTCATCACCATCACTGCTGCACCATTTAACCAGAGCTGTTCTTCTCAGGCTTTGCCTTCATCACACCACCTCTGTTCTTAACACCATCCCTCTTGACTGTATTTGTACCCAACTACCCTAACTCACAGAGCTCAAGCTTTCCATTAAAAGGAAACTCAACCAGGCACCCAGCAATGCTGGAAGGCCATGGAAGAAGGCAGATCCCAACAGGATCAAAGATGCTTTCCTGGACCTCCTGACCTGTCCCAGTGCAGGATGCCCATGCTGGCTCAAGCTGCCAGCTCTCTGAGGCTGCAGTGAGGATGAAGAAGGCTGCAGGAGGAGGACAGCATTTATCTATGAAGACAAGCAGCAGCACTCCTCTCTCCTGGAAAGCCAGGAACTCCATGAGGTGCCCACACAGAAGACACAAATCCATGAAAAACCATGGAAATGAAGTAGATGCCTACCCTACACAAGCTGTACAGGCGCCTGCAGTCCCAAAGCCAAGATATTAGTCAAGTATGCTGGAGCTGTACCAGCACCAACCATGGCATTTTCCCTTCCAACTGCTTACATGCCATGTAGCTTCACCTCCAGAGGATTTATCTCCCCGCTCCATTGCAGCTGATAAGAAACTGCTCCTTTTCAAGTGCTGAAGCATGAACATGTGTGCATTTGGCTTCTTCAAGGCCAGACTCACCTACCCAGGAGGAACAAAAGCTGGAAGCTGCCTGGAAAGCACAGCTGGTTTGGCATTCGGCCACACATCTCAGAGGTGAGAGATACAGACAGCGAAATCACTGCCTTCAGTGCCTGATTGCCAGTTCAGCATCGCAGGAGCGAGCTCTGCAGCTCAGCACATCCCAGCGCCTGTCCTGCTTTCAGGAGATGTTATGGGGAAGTGGAAACAATTTACTAGCTGTTTGTTGCCTAGGAAAAGCAGGGCAGCTCCAGAGTACAGTGCCAAGCCCTTCTGCTGCAAGAGAAATCATTTACTTGTGAGTGTTTCAAGTCAGTGTAACTGAGTCACGCTCTTCCTTAGAGACGACTGCAGAGCAGAAATATATGCAAAGGCCTCAGGGCTCTTTGTCTTACTATACCCTCACAGCACTCACTTGCTGTGAAGCTCAACGAATAAAGTCACTTCTGCTTCCTATTTAACACAGAAAAGTTTATTGGTAAAAATATGGATGTTGCCACTTCCTGTCAGTGGTACGAAGCGACTGAAGCACTGACCTCACCTTCGTTCCTACAGCATCAACACGAGCTCCCTTCATGTTATCATCCACCACACTCCAGGGAGCTGAATCCACATGAAGGAGGAGCAGATGTCCCTCAGCATGGTAAGCCACTTCTTATCTATTATTGCCTTATATCAGTTGTGCTGCCTATCGTCTTACAGCGAAGACAACTTAAGCCCTGTGTTGTTTAATTAGAGGACCACTGCATCCTTGCTAACATCTGCACTGTACGCATGTAACAACTCTGATGCACAAGCTGAATGCAAGGACAGAGCAGCTAAAACCTGGGAGGAAACTGTTTTGTCTCAGCAGAAGCCATGGCTCCAGCCAGCAATTGCTCTGAATGGGTGAGAGCCAATAGTTAGTTAACCCTTTGCTTTGCAGCTCACTCACCATTCAATGAGGGATGAGCTATGACAATTCGCTTGGACATTTACTTCCTGCACCACCCTACTGGGAAAAAAGGGACATTTGTAAGGAAGAAGAAAAAGCAAAAGGCTTCTAAGAAAATAAGGATAAGGGATCAGTTAGTTGGAGATCCTCATCTATGCAGCTCACTGCCTTGTCTCTTAGGGCACCCACCCTCCTTTGATCTCAACACTGACTCACTCTGGGCTTGATTCTTTTTCCTCTTGCTATGTTGGGAGTTTTGAGCAGAAAATGCTTGATTGCTGGCCAATTGTCACTCTTGAACATGTAGCAGCAAGAGGCAGAGGGACAGATCTCTTCCACTCAGGATGCCTGGGATCCACACTCAGGTTAGTGAGAGGCTTCAGTGGCTGGAGATGAACTGACAGATGCTTTGTCACCCTTACAGAGGCCAGCCCTGACCCCTCTAAGCCTCCCATAGCTCACTGATACACACCAGACCAAAAGCCTCCTAAAAAGGAGGATCCCTCCTTGTGTCCCAGAGCTGCATCCTGCAATAACATTACCTGCCTTACCAGCTCTTGCTCCTCAACTGCATCTTCTTCAGGCAGCTCACACAAACCACTGCATGCATAAGCCCTCTTCCACAAAGCTGCTTTCTGCCAGATGTGTGACTAAATCCTCCTGCATGAGAAAGTCCATGAAATACCATAAGAGAGCCAGAACCTGACATTCCACAAGCTAAGACTGTGTAACACCAGAGTACCTGCTTCTTAAGAGAGCTGCAAAGTCCAACCACAGCAGTTTTATTCTGTAATACTCACATAAAAGGCTGTGTTAGGAAAATACAATTAAGAACCTTGCTAGTGTGTTAAAGCAAACTGCTGCCTGTTTCATATCCTTTATTTCTGATCTTCACAAGCAAACCTCCATACCACAAAAAAGGAGAAGTCAAAACCACAACAGAAGGATCATCTACCACCTTACATCACCGATCATTTTATATGCGCCGTAATCTTGTCAGGCTGATCCTATCACAGCAACAAAGGCTTTACAGACACAGAAATAGAACTGGAATTAAATACCCGAGCCACTGAGGGGCTTTATGATACAGCTGATTTAGAATGGAATAAAAACAATTGCATATAATAAAGTTTTTACTTACCACCCCCCAAAACAAAGAGAGAAGCTCAAAGGGTATGGCTCATGAGAGGCCAGACATGAAATACACACAAATCCTAATGCATGCTGTTGGAGGAAGCAACAGAAAGACACAATATCCGAATCTCTCAGATAGAGCAGTTCTTTAACGTATCCTGTTACATGAAGGAATTTCCTCTTTTTGTACCAAAAAGGGAAACTGATGCCTCGTGGTTTTAAGACATTAAAAGATCTCCTTTAGCACCAGTAACAACAATGTCAGCATTTTAAAAGCACGTTCCTCATTTCAATTCTCCAATGCAGAGCCTTTGGATCTGCCTGATGCCGTTTGGAAAGATGCTTGATTTAGCTGCAATCTGGCCTTTTTACCCAAAGCACTGTGCTGCCAGGTCCCACTGCCAGCTCCAGCCCTCCAGGGAAGTCACAGTTAGCAATGGGAAGGACTTTCCTTATGTGAGGAAACCAGTATTAGTTTGGGCAAAAACCTCCTGGATGACCACCCAGAGCTGGAACAGGACTAGAACAGAGTAGGCAGCAGTAAGGCATGTGCCATACCGCCCTAAAGAGAGAGGGATAGCAAGAAAATGAGATAAATGCAGTTAAATAACAAGATTATGGCAAAACTCCAACGCCTTGCCATGACAAACTGAGACTGATGGCAGTTATTTGTTGTGGTACAGTAGGGAGAAGAAGGTAATTGTGTTTTGTGGTGTCAGAACACAACTCCACCACACTGGTTCTCAATGATAACACAACCACATCTCCTCTGCCTCACCATCGTGCCTCAGC